ACTAGGGGGTACATGAAAGCAATTTCAAAACGTATAAAAGGCTGCTGCCAAGAGCCAGTGAACAAGCTGTTCTCCACCTCCTCAACAACAAGAGGAGTGCCCCTAAGGGGCAGACAGGGAGGCTTAAGTTAGACATCAAGTATAAAAGATAAAACTAGCCATCCACTACACCAAAAAAAAATTAACAGTCAGAAGGTAAGGCTGGTTTCCTTAAAATTTTCCATGGTCTTGTATGTCTCAGGAAGCTCTTTGCTTTACTTATTTAGAGGCATGCAGTCCTATTAATTTTCACAGGCCCTCACTGTCAGACATTGGAAATACTGTCTTTCTCCAACTTTGCTGCCAAACAAATGCCCATCTTAGAGCCTTGGTCAACCCATGGCACCAGGAGATACCGACAGGTGGAAGGGACTGGATTGCTAAAACGCAGAATGCAGCAGATAATGTCCCTTTTTCTGGGAGCTTCTAGAGATAAAATGAAGAAATCCAAGGAGTAGCATGGCCCAAGGCCACTGTGCCTGGGTCAGGGAGATATGATTATTGTATATCTTTTGGAGGTCCTACTGTCGTGTGATCTCTGTTTGACTCAGAGAAGCAGGGAACCTCTAATGAGGGATTAAAAGCTGAGAGCTATTTATTCCATGAGGCAGAATACCTGGAGAAACACAAACATGCTCCTGGAAAGACACAGCAAACATACAGGTGCAGCTGAGAGTGGAAAAGCATTGTGTGCCAGCTGATCTAGTAACTAATCCACCTGGCTGTTAAAAACATACTCCAGATGTACTTTTTCCCTAAACAGAACATGCTTAGCACGAGCTTTCAGCCAGTGGATTCATCCTCCTTTCACCCACCGCACTGGAAACACCTTTTTCTCATGAATTTGGTATTGTCAGAGATGATCCTTGGTCACAGTTGAGAGCCCTTCCAAATTTCTCTCTTGTTATTATTAACCTCTTCCCATCTAAGACAGCAAGCTGTCATGGATCATCAGTCACCTCTACTCAAGGTCTCCATATCAGGTCAGCCCATGATTAAGCAACCTTGTGGCTGTATGTGCTTATCGGTGTATGTTTAATTGGCACAAAGAGATTTAACTCGCAGCTCCTACTTGCTGTGTGGCCAGTTGTGCAAAGTCTACCTCCTCCAAAAGTCACGTTCAGCCAACAGGCAGCCATCCTATGGGCAGGCAGGCACACAGAGCCAGAAATGGGGAATACCTGCCTGTTGGCTTTGGGCAACGATTTCGCTCAGGCTGGAGAAAGACCCACAGTGATGGAAATGCTACAGGGATAAAGGGGATCCGTGTGTGGGAGGAAATCCTGTCCTGTTCTTTAAAATAGAAAATAAAAGCTGGCAGAGGCAAAGCCCAGGCAGCAGCGATTGAGGCAGGACACGAAGGCAAAGCAGGTCACAGGAGATGGCTGACAAACCTGCCAAGCTTGGATTGTGTCGGACAGACTGAAATAGGGCTCAGCCTCGTGTGAGGCAGATGAAAGAGCAGGGGCACACTTCTCTACAGGGTTCCCCGTGGAGACATTTAGGCACTTCAGGAACTCCTGGAATCTGTGGTGTGTAGCTCTGGCACCACAGAGACTATTAGAGAATAGCCTTGAAGACTATTCTAGATAGAAGAACTATTAGAAGACTATCGAGAAACATCCAGCAAAGAGGTGCTCAAGGACAACAAACAAAGGCGTGTCCACACACTCCAGAAACATTCCGGTCAGAGGAACAAGAGCATGCCAGGGTGGAAAGAGCCCTGAAAGAGCCCTCAGGAACTCTGTAATATATGACAATAGACAGAGCCTTGGCTCAGGCCTATTAACAAGCAGCCACAACGGCGACTCAGAGAGCTCCTTCTGTTGGCTGGACATGGGAGAGGAGCAGGAAGGAACACAAGAACTGAGGAGCAGGAAGCCCCTGATGAAGGACTGATTGCTCAGAGCATGTTCCTGGAAAAACAGAAACATGCTTTTCATCTCCATGATGTACTTCCATGTCTGGACAATTCTGAAGCCTGTGTTTTCAATTCACGCTTAAGAAAGCACTCCAGACTGTGCACACACCCAGCCTGTGCCTCTCACACAGCATGGAAAAGAGAAGACCAGCTAAATGGTGAGATGGGGAGGAGGATGGAGAATTGGAGATAGAACAGTCCAAGCCAGAAGCCAAGCATCTGCTCTGCTCTCACTCATTCTCAGTGCAACAGCCAGAGAAAACGCTTGGTCATGATGCTCTAACAGGACCTGCTCTCCATCCCTGGGAACATCTGCCAGAATTAGTAATCCCGAATCAGAGGAGGTGAAGCATGCACTTGTGACCTTTTTCAGCAATTTTTGTATGCCTGCTGCTTTCACAGCAACCTTCTGTTATCAGCTTAAAATAAATCCAGCCCTTCTGAAAGCACTCAAGGATTGCAGAATCACAGAATCATTTAGACTGGAAAAGATCTCTTCTAAGATCACTGAGTCCAGCCATAAGCATCTGGCTCTTCCTCTACAAAGCCAGAAACTAGAACTGATGCATCTGGGGATGCAAACATGGAGGCCAAGGAGCTGTAGAGGGGGATTAATGCTGCAGTCCTGAACTCCAGGATCTGAACGGGAAGTGTGGTCTCCCCTGTCCATGATACAGCTGCTTTCAACTCAGAGAAAACAGGGAAGCCCCAGCATTGCCCCTAAATTTACAAGCAGGTGACCTCTTGTTTCTTCTCCCATGTGTGAGGCTTCATGTATTAAGCTGTGTAACCAATCGGTGCTCCACTCCCACTTCTACATCCCATGTGAGACCAGGCAAGAGTGGAACCACATCATCCAGCTGCAAAGGGACTATCTCTTTCTTCAGATGAGGTTTCTTTGAGCATGAGCCCCTCCATAAGCACTTTTTGAAGCATTTTGTGAGCTCTGGGCTCCAGACACTGAGGACAAGGACTCAGTGAGGTCTGCTGCTTTCCAGTAAGGTCTCCTGTTTTCCAGCACACAGCATGGGCTGATACTGCAGCAGCACGAGAGCAGCCAAACTGCCTACCTTGTGTAGGACCTGATCAACAACAGGCAAAACCCAGCCTGACGGAAACAAACCACAGCTCCAGCCTCTCGGTGGGATGGTGCATCCTGCACCGGCTGCACAGCTCAAGGAGCACGGCTCCTCCCCAGATATCTCTGCTGTGTGATCCAGCTTTCAGTTCTAGGCACTGACCACACCACAAAAAGGGCAGAATTTTGGAGTAATTTTTGTGTTTATATGGATAAAAAGAATCCAGATCTATGGCCATAATGCAACTCACAGATTTAATATGCCTTCCACACTTAAACTGATCTCCAGGTACCAGTCCTCAGGATAAACCTAATCCAGGACCAGAATGCCTACATAAGCCACTGCTACAGTCCAAGACCTTCTAGTGAAGCAGCTAGCTCTGGCCCCCAGCAGGGACCTGGCAGCAGGCTAGATTAAAGCTCAGCTTTAACCCCTCTGGGAATTTCCTGTACCTCACATTAGACATAGCGATAGTACTCAGAAACACACAGGGAAAGCCCAGTGGCAAATAACCTAATCAGAAGTGAAAGCCTCACACCTTCTTGATATCAGCACACCTGCAGAACCTGAGGGTCACAGTCCCCTGTGGTCAGCAGGACCAGTAAGAAGAGGAAAACACAGGAAGCCCTGCTGGACCCCCCTCTGCTGCCCCTCGCCCCCCCCCCCGCCCCAAGGGTCCAAGGCTGCTCTCCATGGAAGATTCCCAACACTTTGGCTGAAATGATGCCAGCACTTGGGCAGGGCTTGGTGTTATTTTTAACACTTGCTCACATAACTCTTTGGATGAATCCTGGGAAGAGCTTGTCACCAAAATAGTACACTGTGGGCACTATTTATACACCCACTGGCAGCACAGCAGGATATGCTAAGGAAGCAAAGCTAGAGCACCCCCTTATCCTCCTCACAGGGACCTAGGGGGGCCCTAAAACATAGTTTGTTGTTTGGGCTGGTGCTCAGAAGTGAGCAATTACCTGCAGGAGGCCTGGTATCCTGCTGAGGAGACAGACTCTCATCCATATGGGAGGGAAGCCCAGGTACAGTAAGCTTGGGGAAGATGGATGGCTGTGAGCACATCCCAGCTGCCGTGGACTAAAAAGGGAACAGTTGTGCCTAAACACAGAAAATGCTAATGCCCTCCTATTTTATCTCTCCTTGGCTACTGCGGGGAAATCCAGAAGGGGTAGGGTTTCTCAGTCGTCACCTCTTTTCTCCTATACCGCACAGGCAAAGGTGTGCAGTTGTGGGGTCAGGTGAAACTTTAAATGCCAGCAAGGCTCACCAGAAAGAAGGCACCAGACCAACAAGACTGACAGTCCTTCATCCCTAGGGACAGCAGCAGCCTCAGGCCTTCCCATACCAAAACAGTGTGTCCTAAGGAATCGAAGGAAAAACAAAACAAAACAAAACAAAACAAAAACAAATCACCCTTTTGAGACTATCTAGGGAAAAGAAGGCTCTTCCCCTGTCTAATTTTCTGGATTAAAAATAACTTCTCTAAAGCCATTTCTGAGCCTATTGAACTTCCTTGATTTTTGTCTTCCTTGAGTTTCTCCTCCCTCCCACTGTCTCCCAAGACACATCAGACTGCACTCTACTTTCACATCTCCCACAGAAGCAGGTGACATGACCTGGAGAACATGCACAGGATGCTGGTTGAGAACAGAGAAGTTACAGAAGAGAGGACCCAATTCTGGAGCAGAAAAGGGCCCAAAGTTTCATTTCTCCAGTGTGTAGATAAAAATAAAATGTATATATGCATTTTCTTTCCCTGTAAGAGAGGCTACAGTCTGAGCAGCATACTGACTGTTCATCAGAGCTACAGAACAATGCAATACAAACCCACTAATTAACACATGCTCTCCAGGCAGGGGCAGGACTGGCCACACTACTTTCAGCAGAACAAATAGAAGGGATCGGCTCCTACCTTGCTAGATACAATCTCCGCAGGACGCGGGCTCAGCTCACCGCAGCTGGAAGCCGAGTGCAGCAGCAATGGCATGAGAGCAGCAGGAAGAATACAGCATGCAGAGCCAGCGATAATCCAGAGCAAAACCAGCTTGTCCCCGTGCCGGCTCAGGGATCAGCGAGCCGTGCTGCAGGGAGTGTCTGCCGGCAGCACCCCTGTTGATGCAGGATGGCGGGCAACAGGCAACATGACAAGGCACTTCTTCCAGACAGGAGCCGGCTGAGGAATTCCTCCTGCTGCCAGCCACCTGCCCCCTCCTCCGGCACAGCGGTGCCAGGGCCTCACCCACAGCGCGTGTGGGCAGGAGAGGAGCGAGGGCTGCGGGCTGCTGGCAGCGCAAGGGCCAGATTGCTAATGAAAGCCCCAGTGTAAATACAGATGCGCTTTGGAGAGGGCGATGGCAGAAATGCAGCTCGTGTTACAGAGAGCCATTTACAGCAGGCACAGAGAGCGGGGAGAGCGTGGCGGGGCTGTGCGGGATGGCTCCACTGCCTCGGACAGCGGGCTGGGAGGGCAGCTGCCTGCCAAGGGAAGCCTGGGAAGAAGTGACCAGGAGCAAGGGGAGACCCCCCCCTCCAATTCCACACTCTTCAGCAGCTCCTACAGCTCCATACGCAGTATTTTGCATATCAGAAATGCAAACCTGTCCAATTTTCAGTCCTGCACCTCAACTGGGACAGCTCCAGCCCCACTTGGGACAGCCCCAGCCTCACATTTTCTCTGGTGCAAATGCCACAGCAGCCCACCACACCAGGGAGAAAGGCTGACTGGAGCTTTGCTCCATCCGTCAGATCAGCTCATGGTGCAGGAGCCCATTCCCGTTGTCCAGGTCCTCTCCCCACGTTCATGGGCCCCACATGTTTGAGACTTACCCTCTCTCCCGATTTCAGTGTCCTTGGCACCTACTGCTAGGATTCTTTTCCCCTGCCATTTTGGGGTAATTTACAAGCTGTGTTGCACTTGGATTTACACCAAATCTGAAAGACGGGGGATAGGTACTAGGTCAGCAAAGCAGCAAAGGGTTTGGGGGCTTTGCCGCTGCTGCACTACAACTGGAACCAGCATCAGAGAGGGTTTGTAGCTTTTAATCAGTGCCCATCAAACAAGCCTTGAAAGACCTTAGGGGGAGGCTGAGAAGGAGCTGTTTCGAGACATTTCATACCACAGCAGGCACTGCCTCTAAGCCCTGTGTCAGACAGGCATATAGCTCACACAGGTGACCTCTGAGTGAAACCAGTGACAAAGAACAGGGAGTTCATGTGGTTCTGAAGCAAGTGTGGTCTGTTCTGTCAGGACGGGGGAACCTCCAGCTCAGATGTGTAAACCTCAAGCAGGCCACTTCCCTACTCAGTGCCTCAGTTCCCCCCCTGCATCCCCTGCAAAACAAGGGCCACAACACTTACCAAGCTGCTGCAGATGTTGCAAAGTTAACTTCGTCATGGGGTGCTGGCAGCCCATAAACAGGAACGAGCATTCTGCGGGACTCTGTTACCACCCATAAAGTGGAGACTCCTCGTGGTTTTCCTCGACACACAAACTACTGCTCGCAGTTTTCTTCACTCTCACCACAGCAGATACGCCGCAAAGACAGGGATCCCCACTACCCCCAAAAGCAGGTAGTCCCTCTACCAGCTGCGCCCAGACCATCTGCCAGGCGGGAATGCGGTGCACCAGCCCGGCCTCAGCCGAGCTGTCAAAGCAGCGGAAGGGCTGAGGCTGCACTGCTCTGGAATTCCAGAAATGCACAAACACCCGTCAGCCTGCACCAGGAATGAACTCCTCCCTGCCCCCTGGACCAGGCTGAATCACTGGAAATACCAAAACAACGATGAGGTCACGTTCCCAGAGCAAGGGATTGTAGCCAGATATAGATGCGTGGAGAAGTGGGCTAAAAAGGGACGCGGTATAGGGGCTGGGGGCTCTGGCAGACAGGCACCATGGGCATTTGTCTCGTTTAAAAACAGCCTGACGCTGCCAAGAGACGTTTTTCTTCTCTGCAGGGAGAGGGAAATGGGCTTTAAACCCTTCATCCATCCCATCGAAAGAGGCACAAACATTCTAATGCTTCTGAGTGTGTAGTTTGGGGTTCAAGGAACAAGGCAGAAGTAAAATTATGATTCTAAGTCTAGTGTTCCCAAAATTTCACTATGATACCACATTCAGGCTTAAGCAGTGAAGAATCCCCCTGAGGCAAGCTGAATGGCAGACAAAAATCATATGCCCATTACTGCTTTTTGCTTTTGCTATAGCCTCAGCCAGTTTCCACAAAAGAAAACTCAAAGAATCCAGAAGCATTGATTTGGTGAGTTTTCAAAAGGATTAGCAGCAAATAACAGTGGCTCCTACTACTGCTCCTAAAATGAGTATTGAAGGCATTCCATCATGAGCAAACAAGACTCTTCAAAGTTGTGCAGTTCCAGACTTTCACAGTTCTCGATGCAGGGACACTGGAGACATTTTGCTATTTAGACTGTGAAGGAAATTGCAACACAGGACTTGGAAAGGATAAAGGAATTCACAATAGAATTTGCAATAGCCTGCTCTTTCCCCTTTCCGTAGGACGAGACATTTCGATGGATAACACCACCACCCACAGTCATGTGAATAAGAGGCTCTAAGAGTCCAGATTTTGTTCCATCAGGACATAAATCATATCCTAATCAGAATTCAAGGGGAAACAAAGACAGGATTGGATAGCTAATGCCAGGCATCTCGTCTGCCTGGCAGAGCAGTAATCATTGGACTGGCACATCCTGTGAGCCAGTGGGCAACGCCTACATCAGTCCCCTTCTCCTGACAGTCCTCCCAGATTTGCTAATAAAAGTGATAAGAAAATCTGTGGTGACCTGTGTGTAACTCCCACAGGAGAGCCATCAGACCAGAAGTGCTCAAAACCAAATCAGTTCATTTTCGCCCCACCGCTTCAGCACGTTCTGGTAACCAGAACCACCTTACTGGGTTACTCCAAGAATTCTTCTGATCTAGTGCCCTACCCCCAACATATTGGCATTGGCATATACAAATCACAGAGTATGGAGTGATTTCTTCTAAAAACACATTCTTCCAGCCTGCAACAATCAGGAACTTCTGAAGCTGGAGGTCGCACACTGACCATCACATTTCACAGACACTGAAATACATCTCTGCTATTGAGGTGTCTGGTTCCTTTTGGAATCTGTGTGTATTTTCAGTCTTCATGCCATCTCGTAGCAACATGTTCTACAAATCAACTGTGTTGAAACAGGACTTCCTTAACCTCCAGTCTAATAAATAATTTTGCTGGATGTGCTTCCTCTGTGCTGTGAGAAATAGCAAAGTTTATTAAGGTCATTCCTTACTCAACTTCTCCCTGCTGAACACTACATTATAGGCCTTTACTCTTTGTCACTGTCACCTACTTTTCCTTGTTTAATCTCTCTTCCTACAGAAGCTTAATCATCCCCATTCCACTTTTCTCTATCATGTCCAGGTCTATGTCACTCTTTTTGAGACAGAGTGACCAGCTGGTATGTGGAAGTCAAGATACAGGCACAACATGACTGAATACCTATTATAAAAGAATACAGACCAGTATTTTTTGTTTTCAGTGTGAGTTCTACCTTTTTTGGCTACAGCTGAGCATTGAGCTGATATGCACAGATAATAATTCACAGTGACTCCAAAGGGCTTGTTATGGGTAGTGAGAAACTGTTCACAAATCACTGTTATATGTGGCATTTTATCAGCATGAAATCTCATTTTCTGTTGTATCATGCTAAAGTTCTGCAAGATACACCTGTAATTCTTCAGGCAGTTTTCAAACCAACTACCCTGACTACCTTAGAATCATCAGAAAAATTAAAGTCTTCACTACATCTTCCAAACCATACCTAGATGTGTTTCACAGCATGTGTTTCACAGGGATTCCTGCAGGATCAGGCACTGCAGGTACCTGATGCCCTGTAAAGCATACCATTTGACAAGGCGTGCTCCAAGCACACTGACCAGGAATGCTCTGTTTGAGTGGATATCCCACAGTGGACTGTGGAACTCTAATGCTCGTGATGTGCAGCTGAACTCATGCTGACACAGGCCATGCACAGGCAGACGTACTCCAAAGCTTTGCCAGGCACAGTCTCAGTGCTGTGTATATGGCAGCACAACCGTAACAGCAGCAGGATGGCCACATTCCACATCCTGTTGCTGGGATGAGATTTGCAGCACACCAAATCTGCACTCACGGATGTGTGTCTGAACAAATGTCTTGCCCTGGCATTCAAGGAGGATCCTGGTGCAGTTTGAACCAGCCATTGTGAAATCAGCTAACTTGAACCTCCTCTTGTGAAGGCAGCCAAGAGCAGTTTTGGATGTCCCCTGGATGTGTTCAAGAACAGGCCGGATGGGGCCCTGAGCAACCTGATCTGCTGGGTGGCATTCCTGCCCACCATGGAGGGGTTGAAACTAGATAATCTTTTAGGTCCTTTCCAACTCAAACCATTCTATGGTTCCTGGTCACCAGGAACCTGTTAAGAAAATAAAGCTTTAATTGTAAATATGATTCAGTGCCATCATCATTCTGCCAAGGATTCCTAAAAGAGCCTGTCATTGTTGGGTGACAGTCCCATCCACGGCTCCATGGAGGACTCAGTTGGAAGTGCAGAGTCCAGGGCAATGCTGAAGGACTACAAAGATGCTCAGCAAACACCGACCCCAGGCACAATGGAAGTGAATTGTGGAAATCATGATTCCCAGTCCAGGCAAGCACACAAAAGAATGAGGAGGAGGAGAAACTATTGGCTTCAGATGAGCAGAAGGTATCAGTACCAAAACCTTAATCAGGCTTTATGTTCCAGAATCAAAGGGACAGAGACCTAGAGCCAACAAACCTCTGAAAACTCTGCTATGTGTCCAGGGCTTGATGAAGAACTTAACTGGGAATTAAGTATCTTCATTTCATATATTCCCAGTTCAAAGCCCAGGGATGGAGTGGGGAAGGGTGAAGGAGCACTTCATCTATCCCTCACCTGTTTCATGCAAAATATTGCCCACAATCCCAGAAGGAAGACAGATATGAGGTTTTAGTGAACCATAACCCTTATGTAATATCCTGGTCTGGGATATTACATCTTCCAGCTGACCTTAAAAAAAAGAAAATATATATTCCTGTGTATCACCCAATGACACTGCCCAGTCAATAGCTCTACAGACCCACCCAAAAGGCAAAACAACCAAGCCACTGACTAGAGAAAACTGAGGATACCAGGCATCCTGCACAGGAAAATGTGTCAGACAGCATCTGCTGTCACAGCAAAAACTGAACCAGAAGCAGAACTGCGGGCAGAATACTGTGCAGCCATAAACCAGGCTTGCACCTTCTGAATATTCTATGAATCCTTATCCACAGCCTGAAGGTTTCTGAGGGACGACTGCCAGGAGGCAAGAAAGCCTCTGAAGCAGCTGTTCTAGGTGTTGCTGTCTAAGCCCAAAGGATGCAAACCCATTGCTGCCAGCAAAAGGTCACCAGACTGGAACCTTGCCCAGCAGCTTCTATGAAGCACACAAACTAGCAGACTTTCAGACTGCAATTTTTCAACATGAGAGTACAAATTAGTTTTCTAAATACAGACCTGTACTCTTCATGGAATGAATGGCCTGGATGCCCGCAGGGCTGATGGAGGTAGCACTTGATGACACAAAAGACTTCAGTTTAAAATCCAGGGCAGCTACTGACTCCCTGAGTCACCTTGGTTTGCATACTTCAGGCCCTGGCTTCCTGGTGAACCAGGAGATGCTGAACCTCCCTGCCTCTCAGGGGAGGAAGAATGCAGTAAAGCTTAAAAGATCTCAGGATCTCTGCCATAAATCCCAAAATTAGGGGAGGCAAGCGGGGTTGTTCATTACGTAAAAAAGCCAGGCTTCTTTTAAGTGCCTAATTCGGATGTGGAAGCAGGATGCAGCCAGTAACAAAAACATTGGCCTTCCCTGGAGACACAGCACTCAGATCAGATGGCGCTGTGTTTGTGGGCTGATGCGCGGGGATAGCACCTACAGGTCTGCCCCGGCTTTGCTCTCAGGTCTGGGAACAGCAGTGCACACAACCAGCTCGGCAGCACAGCCCTCACCAGGGCCCACACAGCTCCCCCAAAGCCAGGCACGATGCTTCCAGAGAATCTACAAAAAGCCAGCGGTTGGATCATATGTTTTCCTAATTCAGAGGAAGCCTGGCCCAGCTCCTGCATCCCACAACATCTCCTGGTGTTGGGGAGGGGGGTGGTTTGGAAAAGGCCAGATCCATTTATAGCTGAAAAGTCTGGCAGAGGGCTCAGCTCCGTGTGGAAAAGCAGGAGCTGACAGCTCAGTACAGCCAGCTCCACCCAGCTGGAGAGGCAGGCTGGAGAAAGAGACAGGGGGTACGGAAACCGCTTCCCTTCAAGCTGCGAGGAACAGGAGAGAGAGAGAGGTAGCTTCTCGACATTGCCAGGAAGAGAAAAAACACTCTCTGCCTTCTAAGTGAATTACAAAAAGTAGGGCTGCAGAAGACTAGCTCTGGAAAACCCAAGGAGTAGCTGAGCTGCAGATATGGCCAGAAGCACTTCAGAGGTCAAGCCCAGGCTGCGGGGCTCTGTGCCCTTCTGCTGAGCCCTCCATCACATGAGCCCTGCAGCAGCACAGACCCCTATCACAGGGACGGGGACAGAGATGTCTGGGAGCTGAGGCTGGGAACTCAGCCCCCCCCCAAGCCCCCCCACTTATTACCAGGACAAATGACAGCTCCTCACTCCAGCATAGTTACATCAACCAACACATAAGCAGATGCAGCAAAAAGCCCTTGCCAGCCCTCATGGAAAAAGCTTGCCCCTGAGGACAAGGCACCAGTTTAAAGCATCAACATGCGCAGACTTATGCTGTGATGACTTCAGCTCCACCCCACGTTGTCAGGCATGAGACAGTGAGAGAGGAGAGGTATTTACATAGCTAACCCAATTTAGCTAACAATTGTGCATATTCACAATAAAATTAGGAAAAATAACCACTGAAGCTGTGTTGGGGATCACTGAGGTGATGATGCCATAAGAAAAGCAAATGCAGCCTAGACAATTCAGTGAAATACCAGAGCTATTGTACAGGCATGATAACAAAGCATCACGCAAAAAAAAAAAAAAAAATCTGGTCAGCCGCATTTAAAAATTATAAACTCAAACGAACAGGTGCAGAAAGGCCCTGAGAGAAACAGAAAACCTATCAAACAAGAAGAAACTTAAGAACCTGGCTTGTTTAGCCTAGCCAAATGTAGGCAAAGAGAGGATAGGATTGCTGTCTAAATATATCACAGGAGACAAACAAAACTGCTGAAGCAAAAAGATAATGCTGGCACGACAACAAGAGAATAAATGCACTGTGAACGCATTTAGGTTGAAAATTAGAGGGGGAAAAAATCAACCATCAGAACAGGAAGCTTTCCAGCTGGAATGGCTGGGTTTAGGATGAAGTTTATCAGTGGTCTGATGGGGTTACAGGATACAGTGCTTATGCCCACAGATATCTTTATGCTCCTATTTTTGTTCCAGCTAGTAATTAGCATGGGGCACTAATGAGATGTCTCCTTTCATCCAAAAGACCTTGCTGAGGATCACTCCACTTGGAGAACCCAGGGCAAGGAATGCAGTGCTCCTCTGCCCTCCCATTTCCTAAGAGCTGCTCATATGACTTCCAGGCTACAGGACAGTGGGAAAGAGTTGCATGGATGCATACTGATTCAGGGAGAGCTACCAGGCAGCATAGAAACAATGCGAGTGTTGCAGTTAGCAATGGAAAACACCCTTGAGGTGTCTCCGCCTGAAAGCTCCTGATGCCCCACAGTATTAGGGGCAGAGGTTGCTCTGTGTCATCCTGTGGATTCAGGGGAGAGAGATGTTCTCAGCTCTCCTCTGATACAGTGTAACCATATTATCACCGGCTATCAAAGAATCACAGAATGGTTTGGGTTGGAAGGAACCTTAGAGATCATCTTGTTCCAAAACCCCTGCCAAGGGCAGGGACACCTTCCACTACACCAGGTTGCTCAGAGCTCCATCCAGCCTGGCCTTGAACACTTCCAGGGATGGGGCATCCACAGCTTCTCTGGGCGACCTATTCCAGAGCCTCACCACCATCAAAACATAATCATTCTCGATCCCTAAATTGCAGCCCAGCGGAGTGGCAAGTACAGGCACAACAGCAGACCAATGTTCAAACTATAAATATTTATATGATGGAATCATGCGGATAAAAAGGTAGGGAGTGAAAACAAAATCCAAACCCTATTTCAGGAATTAATTTTTTTGACCTATCATAAAAATGAGGGCTTCATAAAAACCTACAGATTATCGATTTTAGCCATCGCACAGAGATGACGACACAAGGTCTCACCTTCTCCTGGGGACCAAGCAGAGCACTGCGCACATGAGAAATACAGACCACCCCTCGTCCACGGACAAGCCCCCATTCCCCGCCCCGCCGTCCCTTACCGATCGCCCGCATCGCTCCGCTGTTTACAGCCGGTCGACGGGGCGGGCTCTCGACGCTGCCCGCCCCCACTGTGTCCTCCGCCTAAGGATGTCTGACGTTTCCTTTAAGTTTCCTCTTAAAACATCCCAGCTAGGATGGAAAATTTTGGGAATTTGAGCGTTTCCCGCATCAGGATACCGGATGAAAAAAGCATTGTCTTCTCAGATCCGTCGTCCCACAGACCATCCTCCCGCTTTATGAGGTCCAGGAGTTACCATGCACTTCTGGTTATAAACTGCTCAGATCAATTAACAGAGTGCCAGGGAATCTATCATCCCAATATTCTCTTTTTATTTAAAAAAAAAAACAAAAACAAAAACAAAAACAAAAACAATTATATTACAAAATCAGGAGTGATGTAGAACAGACATCACTGCCAGCTGATGTGTTTCAAATGCTGATTGTGTCAAACTACAGAAATAATTGTATCTGGTGCAAGCTCACCAACAGCTTTATTATCCCCTGCATGTCGTATCCAACATTTTCAAATCCCCTTTTAGCCAGGAGGTGAGTGCTTTGCACGTAAACCATGTGAGAAGAGAGGCACAGTGTCAGAGTTTCCTTGCTCTGTCAACACAAGGTCTGCCTCTGCTGCTCTGCAATATATTCTGCTGCATCACATGCTAGGAACAGCTTTGATAGGACTCTCAGACCACAGACCAGTCTGGGTATCATGGGGATGTCTGTTTATCTGCACAAATTCTCCTTTTTCCTCTAACCCTAGGGAGGCTGACTGTGAAAGACATAATCCTCATCAGAAAGCTGTGATTGTCTCTGCAAAGTGAATGGTAAATCAGAGGGAGGCGACAAGCACTCACTATCAGCGGTTTCCTCAGCCAGAGTGCAGACTCTCACTTCACTTAGGTGTCTCCTTGCAGGGGAGATCACCAGATTAGAATTTGCTCCCTCCCTAGCAAGCAGCTCCTGGACACTGAAGCCTAGATCCAGTCTCAGCTCCAGTTTTGCACTGGCCATGCTGAAATTTAATACCACAGTTTGCAACAAGCCTCCCCGAGCAGCAGGTGCAACAGACTGGGGCTTTTTCTGTGCTCAGTTAAACCCAGGGAGATGAAACCTTCTATTAAGAGTTTAAACAATCTGCTGAAACTGTGACCACAGGCAGCAAGGTGTTCCATGCAGACCAGATGAAATGGGGGCATAGCTGGCCTGTTGCCATCATAGGTTGCCACCCCTGACAGCTCAGAAGCTCATGGCAGAGAACTCCCCATAAATATCAGAGGATTCCTGCACAAAAAAAAATCAATTCAAAACAAGAAAGGAGTCTAAAATTGTATGAAGGAGCTGAAAAAAACCCCAACAAACCAAAAAAATCCCAACCCACAAGCTGTATAGTCCTCTGCACAAAAAAAAGCTGCATTTAGACAGCTCAGCAGTGCTGGCAGGACAAACTCTCACGCTGCCACGCTGGCCTTCCACCCAGTAACCTTGCTGATCATGGAGCTGGTGAAACAAAACAGTGAGCAAATCCCACTTCCTCAAGATCACCATGACTCTGGCTGCGTTTGTGCATTTTAGGTCCCTCTGCTGGTAGTCAGACTGGTAGGCTTTTCAGCTCTCTGCCACCCATGTTTGACAGACAACCCATTCCCAAATAAAATGTGAGCCAGCACAGACCAGAGAAACACTGCAGCAGCTCTTAAGGCCTCACTAAGTTCCTCTGAATCTTGACCGAACATGGAGGGTGAGGGAGCCACCAGGGAACTTCATCCCTTACACTGAAACACAGCACCAGTGGAGTAAAGGCTATTTCAGGTGCTAGCCATGAAATAGCATTTCTGCTTTCAATACTGCTTGTGTAATCACCATCAAGCCAGATGCATGTGCATCTCAGTCTGTTATGGTGGCGGAGACACCTGAAGCTGGCAGGTCAGCTGAGCCCTAACCATGGCATGGGCTTCTCAGGGCCAGATTTTATTATTTGGACCATATGGGAGTCTGGGCGTCTTCTGCTCTTTTATTTTAAGTTTAAATTAAGTGGCTGGTGCCCAGTTACAAAACCTGAGAGGGCTCTGAGGACAATGATCTTTTACAGGAGCAGATTTGCAATGCAGATAAAACAGCGCAGGCTGAGGAGTGTCAGCTCCTTGTCCCTTGACCAAGTAAGGGTTTGTCTGAGCTTGCAGCAGTTCCCGATCACAGGTGTGGGATGAGGGTGCTCTTTGGGCACTGGCCATCTCCTGAGAAAGTGGATTACAACCAAAAGGCTACAAGATTACACGTATTACAAAGATTGTGGATTTGGGGTTTGTGTGGCTGGACCTAAGGCACACCTGGGGTCGATACTGTCACCCCAGTAATACGGTCCAGAGTGGATTCATGAAGAGAAACAAAGGTACAAGAATGAGAAAGGCATTGCCAATTCGGCCTTTCTCTCAGACTGGACATCTCTTTGCTCTGAGGTATGTAGTTAAAGGGAGGGAAAAAATAGCATTATGAGCAATCTTGGGGAGTGGATATGCCTCCTGCAGCACATTCTCTCTTGTTCCATGGAGGCCCTCTGGGATACCATACAACTCCTGCCCACCTTCCCCAGCAGCAGCATGCATCTTTGGAAAAGAAGCTGGAATCAGAAGATACATATGGGTGACAGGAAAGGCCCAAGTCCTTGATTTGGTAGGCTAGAAGGCAGAACTCTGGGCAGCCACTGGCTCAGTCCTCTCCTGACAGCCCTTTACTTTGGTTTGCTTTGGTTTTTTTTTGGGGGGGGGGGATTGTCCTTTTCTTTTTTTTTTTTCTTTTTCTTTCGTTCCTTTTTTTTTTTTTTTTTTTACAATCCTTTGTGTTTATATTTGTCACTGTTTGGTGAAAATGTTCCTGTTGTGGCAAAAGGTGATTTTGGCCGCATGTTTCTGCCGGACATAATGAGCGCTCCAAAGCCGTGCTGATGAGAGAAGGCATAGCCAGAGCGGCGGGTGCTGGTCCGACGCAGCCGTCTCTTGGGTGAGGGCGGAGGGGGCCGCTTTTTGGCTTCCTTGATCTTGAGTAGGACCTGAAATGAGACAATAAGGTGCAAAAAGTGCAAAGTGCATCATTATTCACAAGCACAGTAGAAGAGGAGCAGAGAAAGGGAAACAAAAGCAGCGATCCAAGGCCAAAAGTGACTGACAAAAGGGGGCAATGGCAGGAGGGGAGGCAGAATGGCGACTGAAGTGGCAGCACAGGGCGGCAGCCTGGTAAAAGGAAAAAGCAATCTTATTCTAAAAGGCATTAATGGGAGTGTCATCCGTAAGTCATGGGAGGGAATGATTTCCGTGTATTGTTCTTAGCAGCTCTGTAACGCCCCGGCTGGGGTATTACTGCAGCTCTTCAAGGCACTCAAATCACCCAAAATGTGAAAATCATCTTGACCATAGTCAAAAGTCCAGAAAACAAATGAGGAAAACATTTAAGAACTGGCATATTTAATATGGAAAACAGACTACTAAAAGGGATTTCTGATATGTAAAAGCTTTTTGTGATGAGAATGATTATTGTCATAGAATTATAGAATCATGAAGTGTTTTAGGTTGGAAGGGACCTTGAGGACCATTATCATTCCAATCCCCCTGCCACTAGACCAAGTTGATCAACACGCCATGCAGCCTAGCCTTGAACACGTACTGGGATTGATAGATTCTTGTACTCCTTGCCAGAAGGGAAATAAATATTGCACTTTATTTGCAGGTCGTGGGCTTTCTGCTCCCAAGTGGCCACTGAGTTAATCTGTGGTTAAGCACCTTTTCAGAAAGAGGTTGTCTAATGCAGGAGGCTGGTACTGAGTGCCTGTGGCTCAGCAGAATCCCCAGCTGCTGGACTCCTGTGCTTCTTGCTTGGCCCAACGGCAGCGATAGTTACTTGGCCCCTCTAAACATTGGGTCTATTTACTGCCAGCTGGGCAAGTCCACACAGCAGGAAACCCAAATACTCCTCTCCTGTGACCATTCACTTCCAGAGGAGACAGAAAAGTAATATTGTGCTAGAGAGAGAGAGATGCCTGACCCTAGCACTGAAGCTGGAATTCTGGGTGACAGCTGTTTGACTTCTACTCAACTGAGGGGTAAACTCAGCCTGTTTTTACACCCCTGAACTGCCTCTTTGTCCCAAGGACCTCCCTACCTAGAACTCTTCACTAGCACCCACCTACCCTCTCTGCAAGGGCTGAGAATTCCCCTAACTCCTTCTAAAGTCCTGGAGAACCTGGGGAGCTCCACAGACATCCCGAGGATGACCAGGCAAGGCAGTCAACTGTGGTGCATGCCCTTGGTGCTGTGCTCTGACACTGGTTCCTGGCAGCTCGGTGCAGGGAGATAAAGGAAGCACGAGGTGGCAGTAGCACTCAGCAGATGCTCCTGTTTGGAAGCGAGCCTGAGGAGCTCTGTGCATGCTGCTGTTCTTGGCTGCAGTGAGCTATGAGCTCTCTGCCCACTCTATCACTCCCAGCCTCTCCTTGCCCTACTGCCCTCATCTTCATATTCCCGGGGATGGGAAGGCATCTGGTTTCAGAGCGGGCATGTAAGCATTGGCTACAAAAGAAGTATATTCTGAAATCAAAAAAATCCCCACCAAACATGTCTACCCGGGTGGAGGGTGGAAGGCTGTGGTCTGCCAGGCTAAAAACTGCACAGCAGCAGGGCAGGAGAAACACACCATTCCTTTGCCACTGAGCCACAGTGCTTAAACCCTGCACCTAAAAATAGTGCAGCTTTCCTGCCTCAGAGCATTCTAATCCACATCTAAATAATCTCAGCCTTGGTCCCAGCTGCAGATGGTTTGAACTGTGCCAAAACCCAAATTCAATCCTCCTCAGGGGAGTAGGGCACAGACGGATAGTGGCACTTGCACAGACAGAGACACACACTCCAAGCGATGCCAAGCCCATGGCTCCATGGTAAACCTAGGCCATAGTAAGTAGGATTTCTGGTTTAATAAGGTATCTCCTTACTTTATCACTGGGTGTTGGCTTTAACTGAGTCTTCAGGAATCGAAAGCCAACCACAGGCAGCACGCAGAGGGTGATGCTGAGGAAGATTGCTAGCCACACATTCGGTTGGCTGAGGGTGTTTCGAGCCGTACCTGAAAAACAAAAGCATGATTAAAACAGTAAAAGCAGCACCTCTTGTTCACCTGAACCTTTTGCTCTCTGATTTCAAAGAACTTGACAAACAGACCAAAATACATGGCAGACACCATCTCCAACAGTGAAATTCACTGGCTGTAGAGAGGACAGCAATGCCAGTGTCACTGTCACGAGCAAAGAAAAATGAAATATCCAGACACAGTTGCAGCAACAACCCAGGGATACAATGATGTCAGAGTAATCTCTTTAGAAAGAGTCAAATCACTGCAAAGGATTCATATAAATGTTCAGGAGACCTTCATCAGAAGTCCAGCCCTCCCACCTTTTGCCAGGACTCTAGTGCAAAAGGAGGAATACTACTTTGTTACTTTCCAGTACCATTTCCTGAAGCATATGGAATACTACTCTGACTGCACAGCAGACAATGGGAATCACAGCCCTTTATGAGAGAAGCATGTGTTGCTCTGGGTATCTGCACAGACAGTGTAGCCTAATGGGTATATTGGCAGAACTACTGCCATGTACTGGTGTGTCACTGACACCTTCTTTGAAACAAAGTGCTCACTTCTGGCTTCTCCAAAATTGAATGAATATAAGATAGAACAAACAGTCTGCAAAACTCTCAATAAAGGGTTTAATGATGCTGTTGTTGGCAGTAAAGTTGCTGAATATTTTCTTTCCAGTTGGCCAAATTCTGCTGTAATACAATTCCACTGAAATTAAAGTAAACAAGTTGTCTCAGTCCAGACTAGAAACACTTTTCTTAAAAACGACCTTATTGTCTCACAGCACTATGGCTAGTTTAATAACACAGTAATGAGATGGCAGCAGATAGTGATATCCCTGGCAAGTGAGTTAGAATCACCATGGAATCATCAAAGTTGGAAGGGATCTTCAAGATCATCCAATCCAACCATTCACCTGTTTTTGGAAACTGAACAGGCACGCTGTCTTCTCTCACTCAGCATTTTAAACAGTAAAAGTCATCTCACAGTGGACGTGATCACCTGCTTGAAAAATATATTGCAACAACTGACCTGCATCTCAGATAGTTCTAAATTGGCTTAAGGCCCTTGCTATTGCAGTGAAGGTAGGCAGAACAAGTTTTACTGAAGTCATCCAAAAATAAAGGCATTGATCAATTAAAAAATCTGAGACTTGGAACACAAAGTTTGGGGATTTTGGAAGTAGAGGCTCATAACAATGTTGTATCAATACTGGCTATGGATGCACAGAGCTATTTAAAACATCCAAATTCACTAATCATACATGTTTCTTCTGGTCAGAGTCTCAGGAGGTAGATTTATTTTTACGTTAGCCATCATTTTTTGCATGTGCTCAGAAATCTGTTATGTAGAGTAACTACAAAGACCTGGTCATCACTGGAATGTTTTTGGTTTTGTTGTTGTTGGGAATCTGCCATTTAACCTGGCAGAAGGCTCACCTTAATCACACAGCATTTTTCTCATGTCTAACTGGATGTTGTACTTCTATGCTTTCCTATGCCAAAATGTTAACTTATTTACAAGGAAGACACATCCTTCTGACAATAAAATGCTTCTAGATATCTGTAAGAATTGGACACCTGCAGAAGAGCAGCATAAAATGTTCCAGCCAGCTCTGTAGGTTTATTTAAAGAACCATTCCTGTTATGGGAATGCCCATTCTTACACAAGGAAGTGAACATGGCACACATTCACCTGGATGGACCGGATTCCAAATAAGTATTCCCAATCACTCAGAAATATCCTGGCATTTCTTGTAGAAAGGGCAGTCAATCTATTCTGAAATATACTTAGAAATACTCAGCAGATTTAAGCCCTGCAGTATGTCCATTTTGAGTGCAATCCAGATTTGTCCCAGGGCTTACCAACGAAGGGAAAGGAGGCTGTGAAGATCAGATACATGCCATCACTATACATGGTGAAGGTGATAGCAAAATAAACAGAAAGGCTTCCCCAGATGAAGAACTGGTTCACAACTGTCCAGTAAGAGGTGTCCAAGCCAATCTGAAAGAAGGGAAAAATACAGCCATTGTCAGTGCCTTCATTATTTAGTACTGAACACAGCTCGTCCTATATTTTGTACATCTCCCCCTAAGACTGCTATTCATTCAAGTCTCAAGAACTAACAAGTCACAAATCATAGGATGCTGGGAAACCATTCAAGGCAAGCATTACTACATTTATCCTGCTATTGCCCTCTTGTCAAGCATTCATTAGTGGACAGTACTGAAGACAGGATGTCAAGATACCTTAAAGACCATCTAATTTCAACCCCTGCCATGGCACTTTGCATTAGACCAAATTGCTCCAAACCCCATCCAAACTGGCCTTAAACACTCCCAGGGATGGGGCATCCACAACTTCTCCAGGCAACCTGTCCCAGTGCCTCACAGTAAAGAATTTCTTCCTAATATCCAATCTAAACCTACTCTCTTTCACTGTAAAGCCAATACCTGTTGTCCTATCACCACATGCCCTCAGAAAAAGTCCCTCTCCAGCTTTCTTGTGGGCCCCCTTTAAGTATTGGAAGGCCACAATGAGATCTCCTTGGAGCTTTTTCTTCTCAAGACTGAACAACCCCAACACTCTCAGCCTGTCTTTACAGAGAGGTGCTCCAGCCCTCTGATCATCTTCATGGCCCTGCTCTGGACTTGCTCCAACAGGTTCACCACCTCCTTATGCTGGGGGCTCCAGAGCTGGACACAGCAAGTTAAAAATAAGCCCTGCTTATTCCCCACCCCTAAGCTGTGATCTGACATTGGATGTTAAGCAAAGAAGTCTACAAGACCTCAGACAGCAGAAACCATTATCTAGGGAAACATGATTGACTAGTTTTCTTTTAAGAAATCTCTCTCATCCTGATAGTATCATCTGAGTTTTCTACCACCCAGGTCTCAGCTATTTCTTCCAGTGAGTACAGACCTAGCATCTGCGTCATGCATGGCCCAGGCTCCACAGACAGCTCCATAATGGAGAACCTACAAATAACTGATAGCAGACAGTCAGTCCTGTGCTTCAAACCCTTCCCATAACACTAGAACAAGTCCTTTTCTATTCCCTGCCTTAACTGATTTGTCGGCTATGATTGCAAACTTCCCAAGGCAAAGACTCTGCTTTTCTGTCACCCTGATCTTTCATAACATATAAATCTCCTTTTATGTTGAACTGAGGAGATTAATGAGGCATCAAGAGACTTTTTTTGGTTTTGCAAGAATGCAAGATACAGCAGCAAATACAATGCTATCAAGACCCCAAGTGGCCCTCCAGATGCTGCCATCATGAAACAGAAACTAATTCCTAAAAATATTACCTGGGATGCCTTACCTGTACAGACACCACAATCAGTAAGCAGGTCTGGGCCATCAGAGCAAAGGACTGGTAGTCAGCAATGGCCTTCCCATCACTCCTCATTGTATTGTACATGGCCCCATAGGGGATGAAGAAGAGGATGAGGGAACTGTAGATCCCTTGCAACATGCACTTGACAAACACCACTTTGTTAAAATAGAGGTTTTGCTGGCCAGGCACATACAGCTGAGGAAACAGCATGCTCCAACGATCATCCACATCCTGAAAGCAGTGAGGAGAGGGTCAGATTTACTGGCAGCTACCCAGCTGAGCAGATAGACCACTTAGGACTGCCGTGTTCCTTTGACATGCATTTCCATGAGAAAAGGCTTAGCACACAACTCATTCAGTTGTGCTTACTACCATGGCACATGCCAAAGTCACCTAGGCATACTTTCCATGTTGCATTTCATCTTTCTTGTGCTGAAAAAATTGACAGCTAATGAAAGAAAAATAATAAAGCAGACTGTATGGTCTGCTCTCCAGAGAGTTGACTGGAAGCTAAGGTTTGGAAAATACTTCCCCAGGGTCAACACACAGGCAAGGCTCTCTTATTTGCATCTCTTAAGTGTCCAGAGCTGAACACTGGGAATCACTGCAGAGTAGCCAGTTCCTACTTATTTAACTTGTAGGAACAGCTTTATTGCTCCTGTGTCTTGTCAAACAATAACAGTGAGGTAGAAATGTGTGTGTGAAATTACCACAGAAAAAACTCTCTAGAAAGGCTGAACCTGGAAAATCTGGCTTCAAAGATCTAGCTAATTAATTGTTGTGTCTGGTCATTAGAAAGTCACTTGTCAGGCTTCAGGAACACAGCTAGTAGGATATGAATACTTCACGGGAGTGTTGCAATGGCAGCTTGTACTGTAGGCAGCAGCCTAACCCAAAAGTCTCATTACACACTAAAATCCACAGATCAAATCAGGATAATCATAAAATTATAGATATCTCAAGTTGGAAGAGACTCATAAGGATCATCAAGTCCAACTCCTCGTTCCTCATAAGATTACCTAAACCTAAATCATACGACTAGGAAGGAATACACCATCTCCCTTGTGCATCCTTCTTTTTGTGGTCTAAGTTCTCACTGGGAGGACATCATTTCAGTGGTTACCACAGTATCTAGCCAAAAGATCAGCTGTTTTTGTTTCATGGGACCAGCTCAAAGCACCTGGAGATAAAATCTCTATTAAAAAAAATCCCAAAAGTGGTGACAAAAACAGTACCTGATCGAAGAGACTCATTCCTAGCACTGGAAGGGAGGTATATACCAAATTGTAAAGTGTAATGAACCACTCATCATAGACGGTCTGGAAAAAAAACATAACAGACATAAAGTTAGCAAAACACTGTCTTTTCAATTTCTTTGAAAGTATATGCAATTAAATGCTGCAACACCTTGGTTTGAGATGTTACTAAGACAAAAGGGATAAGATGACTCAGGCTCAGCATTCCTAAACAGGGGAGGGACCACGTTATACCAGCCCAGTTTGCACAGCACCCACTGCTGGCTGCAGCCAGAGCAGGATCCTTCTGCACCACCCTGCACCGCCAGCCCCTGACTATCTGCACTCCCCATGTCTGGGTTTGGTTGGAGGCTGGTTTGCCTGGAACAAAGTCCAGTTTTTTCACTGTAGATGTGCTCCTCTTCCAAGCTGCTGACACACGCAGGCATCTCAGGGTTAAACTGCTTGTTCCAAATATGCGAACACAGGTCTTGCAAGATCTGCACCAAACTGTAACCTGTGTCATCAGCTGATGGTTGTAATCACTTTTGGAAACCCTGCAAGTGATCTATGTGCTTCATAAGGCACGTAAGTGGCAGGGAAGGTTTATATTGGATATTAGGAAAAAATTCTTCACCGAAAGGGTGGTCAGTGTTCAAAACAAGTGTGGATGTGGAATTTGGGTACATGGTTTAGTGGTGAACGTGGCAGTGTTGGGTTAATGGTTGAGAGGTCTTTTCCAACCTTAATGATTCTATGATTCTGTACGTCTTCAGGCATCTGTCCTCCACCAGCAGCACAATGAATGCAGCAATATCTGCTTTATACCTATATGGCTGAAGAAGACAGACTTGAGTCCATTCAGTGAGGTAGGAGGAATGGCTTAGTTTATTTTCTTGTAAAATGTTTCCAGATACTCTGTTTGAAAACTCTAGACAGAATCATAGAGTGGTTTTGGTTGGAAGGGACCTGTAAAGGGACCCTGCAATCAGCAGGGCCATGCTCAACTAGGTTACTTAGAGCCCTGTCCAACTTGACCTTGAATGTTTCCAGGAATGGGACATCCACCATCTCTCTGGACAACCTGTGTGTTTTACCACCTTCTTTGTAAAAAGCTTCTTCCTTGTATCTAACCTATGTTTAGTTTAAAACCATTACCCTTTGTCCTATCGCAATAGGCTCTGCTAAGAAGTTCCTCTCCGACTCTCTTGTAGCCCCTTAGCTACTGGAAGGTGCTCAAAATTCTCCCCAGAGCCTTCTCATCTCCCAGCTGAACCACCCCAGCTCTCTCAGCCTGTCTTCACAGGAGAGGTGCTGCCCTCTGATTATCTTAGTGGCCCTGAAGAAACAAAAGCTGGACCTACCTGTGCTGAGAAGCCAGAGAAGAAGCCATACCAGAAATGCACTAAGGTGAAGGCAAAATTCTTATAGAAGAAGTATTTTAGGAACTTGCACATGCGGATGTAGGACCACCGGCCATGGACCAAGAGCAGGCGCTGCAGGTAACGGAACTGGGCAAAGGAGAAGTCACTGGACAAGACCGCCTGCATCCCCTCCTGGCCACTGATACCAACCCCAATGTGGGCAGCTGCAACAAGAAGGTTATTGATCACGTCATTACACCGAGAGTTTTGATTACCCCGTTTTTAAAATCAGTTCCCTGCACTGGAGCACTGTGTTAATTCCCTCGCAGCCTTCATAAAAAGTCATATGCAAAGCCATTTAAAAAAAAAAATAGCCTTGGAGCACTAATTCTTTCAGCAGCACCATGATTTTGGCTGGGTGATACATTTCCCATAACCGGGATTTTATTATTTGAATGAAATTCTAGGTTCAGTGACAATTTATGTTTTGTTTCTGAGCGCTTTCCAACAGCACAAATACTGTTGTTCATAAAAGCTGCTGCTATGAAAAAATAAATTTAATTTATATTGACATGTGACTTACTTTTTACATGCATGCACGTCCTTCCAGTAACCTTAAAACATCACCCCAGACAAGCAAAATGCTCAAACCATTTTTAGATTTCTCAGACACTGTGCTACAAGGCGGACTGTAGCCTTTTTATATTTCCTGGGTTTTATTAGTTCAATCAAATAATTGATAGAAGAGTCACTTCTTTTTTAATGGTAACTTGGGTTTATTAAACATGGACATAAGTTTAATGTGACAGCTAATTATACAGCTTTAACTAATGAGAACAATCTTGATGGTTGGAGGTTGGTTACATTCAAAGGTTTCCACGGAACAGCGACTTGATAAAATCCCAAAGTCTCAGTCCTCTTGGTGGGGGGAGTGGGTTAGTTTCTAATTATCATGTACACTTTAACTTTTCTTCGCCTTTCTTTGCTGACTGCCTGACTTATCTCCCTTGAAGCTCTCTACTTAGCCTTTTCTTTCTTAATTAAAAAGCTCCAGTTAATCAATTCGTGCAAATTAACACAAGAAAGATTAGCAATAGGCCTTCCGAATAATCTTAATTTAATTATACCTAGATAGGGGATTTTTTTCATAAATTCACTGAGGTAATGCAGCATCAAATGATGCTCAAGGATGAAAGCGCCTGGAAGCCCGTCATTTATAACTCAAGGGAGATAATTAACAAACAGCCCTAACACAATGAAATGTTAACAACCCCCCCCCATAACATTATATAGACTATTTACAGGCAGAAGGATTTTCTTTCTGCTTTGCAGTCAGGTCCTCTATGAAACAAACTTGTTTGTTATACATATTGCCCTTGTGATGGTGGCCATGCAGACACACAGATGGACACATCACAGCCTGGGCGGGCTTTTCATAGAATCATAGAATCATTTAGGTTGGAAAAGACCTATAAGATCATCAAGTCCAAGCATTTTGTCTGTTCTAAGATAGAAACAGAGAAACAGACAGTGCAACTTTGGCTTCCTGCTGTCCAGTGGGACCTAGAAGGCAGGAGACATGAGTAACCTGTAGTGAGAGTGCTCTGTAGAGACCTGTCAAAATCTGGGACACAGCCACTTGGTTCCTCAAAGACGGTGGTACAGGAGGCACTCAGACACATGTTCTGCTGCTGGCCCACCTCAGACAGAAAATACACCACCGAGTCAGTCTGCCAGAGCATATCACTCACTTTTGATCATGCTGACATCGTTAGCGCCGTCTCCAATTGCCAGGGTCACAGCCTTCTTGTACTTCTTCACCAGCTCCACCACCTGGGCCTTCTGCAGGGGAGTCACCCGGCAGCAGATCACCACTTTGCACATGCAGGCAGTTCTCACTAGCTCCAGCTCCAGATTCCCTTCCAGTGCATAAGCCTGAGAAGGAGTAAAGGGAGTGGTCAAATCAGACAGGCAGCATCTCCTGGCTCACAAAGAGAATGCAGTGAGGTGGAAATGAGAAGTTTTTCCATTCAGCAGCAGGTAGGTATGGGATATCCCAAGCGAATCCATCCACTCAGGCACAGGGAGCCTCCACACCGCACATCATGCCACACAGTTTCCACCTTGGGTATGCCACACCTGGATCTGCACCACAGATGGACATGCACAACAGCTGCTCTAGCTGATGCAACCTGGTAGAGTGGCATGTCAAACACCAGGAGCACTAAATTAATGAAGCTGCTGCAGGGCCCGAGACAACCTTGTGTATCTCCATGCAAGAGAGTTTCTGCTCATCCCACTTGGATTATTATTTAAGCTCTGCGAGATCTGTGGTATAAATGGGAAAGACTTCAATTTAGGAGTGCTTAATTAAAAAAAAACAGAACATGAAAAATATTAAGCTCAGGTGAGCATGACAAAGCAAAACACAAAGCTAGGGAGATGGCTGCTTTGCTCTGAGTGCTGACCTTTTAAATCAGTCATCTGTGTTATTTCTATTCAGGAAGCACAGAGATAATTGGATGTCTGGTCACCCCTCCAGCTCTCTGTGAGGAGGAGGGAGCAGAGTTATCCTTTCATATTTCAGATCATGCTTTTTGGCTCAGTTCTTTGTTGTCCCTTTTTAGCAGACATGCACGGCAGGAATCTACAGGGTTCACTCCTCCTCAGAGCCATTACAACAGGCCCACTGCTCTTTCTGCATAAGGCACACAGTCCATAGGCCATATATCCTTTCTTCCTGAAACAGAGCTGTGAGTCAACAGTGTCCCTCCATCAAGGGCTCAACAAGAGACATTTTTACACCTTAGCTTTAGTACCGCTGGTCAGCACACAGGTGGCATCCTCACTGTACAGCACCAGCAAAATGTTATCACGTCACATATTAAGGTACTACTGCACACAAATCAACTGGTATGATGATGCCATTACAGATGCTGCTGATGTGTTTCTGTTCCTTTGCTTTGTTCAAGCAACACCAGAAGAGTGAATAGCCACAGCGCTGCCATCCCACCCATCTGCAGGTAGGGATACAGCACTGAGCAGATGCTGTGTTTGAGTGGGACAGTATCAGCACTAATACCATTGTTCAAGCTCATAGAAATAAATAAATGACATCTAGTTTTGTCTGCACTGTCCTTGTGGTCACCACCCAGGAGAAAGCCATGATATTGGTGAGACTCGTGTCCACTCTATGTGGACTGGCTGCTCCCACACAGCTCAGATTTCAGTTTCTCTGTGTGAGACATATCCCCTTGCCACGGTCTGGTTGAGTGTGTGGCTTTCCAGGAATAAAAAGAAAGCTTTTCCACTGCTGCCAGTGGTGCTTTAATAGCACAGCACTCAGGGTCTGAGTGGCTGTGGGATGGAGTAGGAACCAGCAGGGGCTTGCAACTGATTCCCACGCGATGCAGATGTACCGAGCCTGACAGAGCTCTTGTCTGCTTTGCAGTGGGGATCTAAAGGGGATTATGGCCCTCAAGGTAAAGAGTGAGTGAATGTAAAAGAGGGAAAGAGAGTACTTAACAACATAGACACTGTCTGAAAGTGTTCAGGGTCTGTATATGGAGTCACAGAATCACAGAACATGCTGAGTTTGGAAGGGCCCCACAAGGGTCATCGAGTCTCTCTCCTGACCCTGCACAGGACCATCCCCAAGAGTCTCACCATGCGCTTGAGAGTATCATCCAAACAATTCTTGAACTCTGTCAGGCTTGGGGCTGTGACCACTTCCCTGGGGAGCCACACAAGCCAAAAACAGAGCAAGGTGAGATGTTTCAATTAGTAATTTGCTGGGCTGGTATATCTGGGAGTGAAATTTGCTGGACTGCCATCAAGAGAGTAGCAACCACAGGGAACAGAATTTCTGAGAGCAGCACCTCCCGGTACCTTCCACATCTACCTATTTGCTTTCCCTGAGATCTGGGAAAGTAAAATACAACTGATAAATAAACCTGGTATAAACTAAGCCTTCCTCCCAAACAGGTTTAAACTGATCTAAATCAGTTTTTTAATCTAACTTGTTCTAAAGAATTGTGAAGTATGGGAAATCTGTTCCAGGGCTTCAGTATCTTCACTAGGAAGACATTTCACCCCAAACTCTCTTATCTTAGTTTAATTCCATTACTTCGTTCACCTGTTATTATTTGAAGAGTATTGCCACTACTGATCAGTATTCTCCAGGCTCAAAAATTTTTAACTCTTTCAGTTTTTCCCTGTGCTTTCCAGATCTTCCTTAGTCTACTCTTAGTTTTCTTTGTACTCTCTCCCAGCCTGGTGTTACCTACTCTCTTTTTAAGCAGTTAATGTGAACACCGAGCATCAATTTGATGTGGGATAACCCTTATTGTCTAAGATTAGAAAGTTAACTTGTTTTAGATCAGCTGTTTTAGATCAGCTGTGAGCCCTTAAGAGCCACATTTTGCAAGCAATCTTGCATCTGTCACTTAACAGTTTAATCTAGAGCATATTACTTCAGTTTGCTTAGAAGAAATCATGGGAGAGGGTATCAAACAATTTATTAAGTTATAAGACCTGTATCCTATCTCTTAGGCTTATCGGATCTCTTAGGTTTATATCTGATCTCTTATCAGATATATTTAGTAGAATATGCTCTTGGCATACTTTAAACCCATATCTAATGTTATCTTCTTGCTGCATACACAAACTACCTGGTTATTTTTTTAGTATCTTTCTGGAAATTAAAATTATTCCAGCTACTCTACCCCTCTTGTTCACCAAAGATCAGGGCTGGCTCTTCCTTGTTCTAGTCTTCTGAAACCTTGTCTGTCACCTTTGATGTCTCAGATATCCACTGAACCTAATCCTCAGTTATGGAAAAAAACTCCTGTCCTCTAGAGTTACATTTTTAAAACATTTTTCTGACATTCAGTATGTCTTCCAGTAAGTTCTTCAGGGAATTCATTCCTCACAAGGCTCTGAACCTTCCTTACCAGGCTGTGGCCAGTGATAACCAGACCATACACCCCATTTGCTTGCTCATCAGGTATAATTTTTGGTTTTTTTGAAGATTTTTCAAACTGAATGTTGATTTCATCACTGTCCAGAAAGGAGTCTGGCTTCATCTTTTTCCTTGCATTCCTAAAAAAAAAAAAATAAATCCAGGATAATAATGAAAATCTTGTGAAGTTATATATGTTTTCATAAACTTTATGAAAACAAAAAATTGATGTTTCCTTCTAATAGCTCATTTTAATTTTCCCTGTATCCCTACAACAACATGTATTGTTTCACTGCTGCCATTTGTGCACATCATCCACCTGCTTCTGAAATTCTAACCAGTATTGCCAACCTTTTGCTGATTTAAAGTCAAACTGAGTGTCTGAGCACTATGAAGGATGGTGTCCCAAAGGGCATCCAATTTTCTGAGCATACTGTCTGGCAACCATGTATTCCAACAGAAAAGGGCTGAAAACCTTCCCCATTTTCCAGGTACACCTAAGAACTTGTGTCTACAGAGGAGGTGAGGGAGGAAGGTAGGTTCTTACACACTGCCAGAAAAAGACCATATCCAGACAAAGGACAGCAATGTGGATAAATGGCAATAACTGTAGAGCAACAGCATAGCTCAGTCCTGAAGCCAAAGCCTTTGTGGCTCAAGATCACTTGCTGGTAAATGTCAGCTGATAATGCCTGTCTGATTCTGCTTTCTTATATATTTATTTAATTTGACCTCTTGTATTAAGAAGCTTCAGCATTTACTCTTAAAAGAGACTTCTACATTGTGTTTAGCTAATGGATCTTCCAGGGAGCCAGCTAGCCCTTATCTAAGGTCCCTGAATGAACTGCAACAAGTAAAGCTGAGAGGAAAAAAAGGTGGCAACATACAAAACACAAACAGTGTTAATGCACGGCAGTGTAACTGTGTATTTCAGCCATTTACCTCAGCTCGTTCAGGACGTCATCAGATGTGCTGCCGTCAATAATGAAAACATCTTCCATGTCATCGTTCAGCAAGTTGCAGGAGTAACCAATATTCACTGCTGTCTCTGGGAAAGATAAGCCAGGAAGATGAGCCATCTTAGCACGCCCAAATTCACCCAAGCCCCTGCCTGTTCCTACTCCATCCCACAGGCACTCAGACCCTGAGTGGCCTTTCTACACACGTGGCAAAAGCTCTCTTTCTGACTCAAAAGAGCTCAGAGCCTTTCAGAGTCAACAATAAGAGAGCCAGGAGAGTCACTTTGATGGATGTAATAGCAAATCTCCCTTAACTGGGCTTCACAAGACCACAGGAAAAAATAATTCTGCCAAACATAAAAAGCTCAAAACACCCTTTGGCCAACGTGCTTGGAACAACAAAAAACACTTCATGTTGATTCAAAAATTTTTTCCAGGATTTTTAACTTTCCCTCTTGCTACTTCCAGAAAAGCCCTAAACCACAGACCTCAAGAAGAGTATAAAGGCATTTTGTTCATAACATTTTGAAAAACATATTTTGGTATCTTATAGCAAAACTATTGTATTTGGAACATGACAAAATGAAATGTTTCATTTTTCTCAAAAATTGTCTGCTCATTTCTTGGATGAAATTATTTGCAAACACTTTTGGCCTCCCTGAAACACCATTGTTTCAGTGAAGTTACTGTTTCTCCAAAAGAATTCACTGGAGTCTATTTACCATTCTTTCCAACTCCAAAAGCCTATGTTTTCTCCATTTCTATTCCGGATCATTAAAGCCAGGACCAAACTGAAACATACCCAACATCCACTTTGACGTTAAAGTTTCGGAAAGCAGGACAAGATTTTTTCCAATTTCTTCACTGGGACGGTCAACTGTACTAAAGTGACACCTTTTCAGAGTCAGGGACTATGGGATGCTTATTGTCACCTCTCCAAAGGCAAAGGATGCTGCCTTCACCCTGCTTCCAGCCTCAGGACAGAGTGTAAGGATAGAAACTAACTACAGTTAACTAGTCTAATTCCAGTTAAGAAATTTTGCCTAGGTGGCAATGAAGCAAAGCCCTATATGTTTGTCTTATGTGCAGTTTTTAAAGAAGAATGAGAATGCAGGTCTTAGCAGGACCATCCCACCAGTGGGAGAGAAGTATCCAAAGCTGTAGTGCCTTTACCTTGCTTATCTCCAGTGAGAACCCATATCTTGATGTTGGCTTTGGCAAGAGTCTCAATTGTCTGTGGGACTCCATCCTGTAGCTTGTCCTCAATTGCTGTGGCACCTAACAGCTTAACAGAAAACAGTGGAGAACTGGTAAGCTGTTAGCAAAGGAGAAAGCATTACCTAGAGGTAATTACTCAAGGAGGCAGAAATGAAATCCAGAAATAAGGTTGTACTGATTTTCATTCTTCCTCAGCAAATTTAGTGTACAGAGCATAACCTGATCCTGCAGATGTTCTAGTCTCTAATTCCCAGGGCTCTGAAGGATTATGAACATGCATGAAATTATTTGCCAGAATGTTTGCAGACCTACAGGTCTGTGTTCTTCCATGTGTTCCCTTCACAGCATACAGAACTTTAACAGAGGGACAAAGACAGATGTGGATCCATGCCCCCAGACCTCCATACGCATCCTCTTGCTTGGAGCTTGCTCCCAGCTATGCTGTACTGCAGCTGTCACATGGCTGCTAAACATCTCTGCCTTTAACAGATGTGTCCCCACTGCTGCTGCACACCGTCACACACCTAAACCACAGACTGCTCAGAACACAAACCTTCATTATTTTAAAGTTATTGTTTTTTTCCGCATTTTGGAAACAATTGGTGGCTTTAACCTGTTGTCAAAGGGACATAAAGATTTCACTGCTAGCTCAGGTTTAGACAGCATCTGCTACCACTTACCTCCTGCTACTGGGAGACTAAATTCAGAGGTTGGCTTTAAGCCCAAGATCCCTTCTGGTACCCTGGGATGTCCATCATACATCACCTATGAGCATTATCACCATAGGCAACAGCTCTGATGGAACTTCCCTACAGAGTCCTCAAAATTGTACAGTCCCCATTTTACAGTAGTCCCTGATCCAGTTAGAGAGAACTTAAATGCTATGGCTTAAAAAGTCATGTCCTGGGAGCACCAGCTCATCCTTGGCAGCCTGAGTCTGAGCTGGAAGCCCAAAGTTGGACATTGATAACAAATGTGCCCAGGGAGAGAGAACAAGAGCTTCCATTCCCTACCGCCATCATCTTTGTGGAGCTGCAGAAAGGCACAACAGAAGCATTATTAACAGGCCTTTGGCTTGCCTGTCCACGATCTGGTGTAAAAAAAGCTGGAGAAAAAGCCATGATGCCTTCTTGACTGTGGATGTTCCTTAACTTTTAGGTCAATCAATGATAAATAGTATTTTACTACTGTTCTCTGAATCTATCCAGGTTCCATCCCTTGTGTCCTTTTATCCTTACCCCTCTAGGGGCCCCTAGTAGAAACCTGCCACACAAGGGACTTCTGCTCTTGGACATCAACCAGACCATGATACTTGGCAGTCCTCTACACCTCCACAAGACCCATCTATGTCCTCACTGACTCCAGTTCTCGCAAGCCAGGCTCTACACCCACCCTCTGCTCTTCCCACAGCATCTTTGGGAAGTAAAGTCACTCCTGTACAGTGAAGGTTCTTGTGTAAACAGTGTTTTATTCTGAGCCACGCTTCTTCCTGCTTGTCTTTTCTCTACTCAGGCCATGAGCTTCACGACCTTTTCTTGCAAAGCAGCTGGACACTCCAGCCCCTAAACCTCCAAGTCTTTCCTGCTTTGAACATGCCCCACAGAGCAGTTACACAATTTTTAAGGGGATTTTTCACTATTCTATTGAGACCTATTTTCCACTATTCTGTTGAGACCCAGAAGGGCAGTACGCTCTCCCCCCTGGGCTACGCAACTTCCAGAGAACAGCATCTCCTCACACTTGTTTCTTCCCTGGGTCCTGATGGCATCCTGAACACAGAGCTAATGGAAGGAAAAAGGCTGTGTTACCCAGGATTTCTGAGATTTCAGGAAAGCACTGCTGCTAGTGCAAAAGCTCAGCTTCTCCTCAGATCCCATATATTCTTTTCATCCATTATTCATGTCTCTAAAACACAGGCAGATCCCCCAGGGCATTTAAAAGCTGTAACGACACTGAGGGAGAGTAGAATGCCTTGAAGATCACAGTTTAGCTCTATTTCAAATTGACACAAACATGTTCATGGACATCATCTACCCCTCCTGCCCAGGGCTGCAAGAACAAAGGAGATGCTCTCTGAAACCAAGGGGCACTGGGGATTATTCACTGCCTGCCATTTCAAAGGCTGGAAAATAAATAGATCAGCCATTTGCACATACAAAGGATAGCTATGAAATATTTGTGTCCACATCATCTCCCGCAGGCTCTGGTATGTCATTTCCTCACGAGAAAGCTACTCTGACACCCACATGAGTTAAAATAAAACCATTCCCCTGCAGTGGTGGCTGACACTCTAGTTACAGGCTCCTGATGGAGGTGCCCATGAACAGCCAGGACTGCCATGCTCTGAACTGCTCCTGTCACACAACCCACTGAGCTGTTTGCAGAGCAATGTTTGCTGAAGTCATACTGAGCTGTTTACTGACAAACCACCATCCTCGCTGCCTCCCCCAGAGCTTGGCCCAGATCCCTTAAAGTACCAACCATTAGGTCTTTTTCAATCTCTTCATATAACTCTGATAGTTTTTCTTCCCGTCCTTCCAAGGCAGTGCTTGCTTCATGGTGGCGCCTGATCCAATCCTGGAAATAGTCTTTCTCCAAGTTTTTATAGGCCACCACAAGTGTCCTCAGACCTTCTCCAGCAAACTCCTGCAAGACAGTGGTGAGACAGAAAGGTCAAAGCAGAACAGTCTGGTCACATGGGCTTACAAAGGACTTTCAGAAAGCAGACTGTAAAAAGTATCTTGCCTAAAGTTTGCAGAGGAAAGGTGAAAAAAATCGCACCTTAGACCACAAAGTTTGGGTTACTTATAAAAAGTAATTCCAGACCACTTGTCATTGCTATTCATGGTCCTTACAAAGAAAAAACTCAAAAGGGCTTTCCTACTTTCTGGCTCCAAAGATTTAAAGTAACCAGACAGTTGTTTCCCAGGCTCATATTTCTCAACAAAAGGTCCAGAACAGTGAGACCTAAATAAACCTTGAAGACAGGCTTGAATTTTGGACCTGGGCTCAACGTTTTAAGGGCACAAATTCTGGCTGAAATGCACAGATAAGAACAGCCAGTCATAGCAGCTCAGCAAGTCCTTATAACTGTCTTTTATGATGGATAGTATAGAGCTCAGTGTTTGGTGCAATAGCAGAGATATGTTTGTGAAAATGGAGGTGTTCCCCCAGACTTGAAATAAAGGCACATCAGGAACAGGCCACATCCACAGCTCTGTTCTGCCCTTTCCTTTGCCACCAACTTTCTCTGACTCCCCCAGGCAGTGAGCAGAGATGTTTTTTCTATTACACAATCCCACTGGCAAAACTCTCTGTTATCTTGTGCTCTGCAACATTATCAGTAGGATCTGGAATCTCAAGGGAGAGTAAATACTGGTCAAAACATCCCCTTATGTGAATAACAACCTCCCACTGCACACCATCAACAATATAAAAGGCCACAAGTTCGAGTGATGCTTTTTCCTTGCTAGATCTGGAAGAAGAGACCTAAGGCTATATAAATTAATTTCCCTCTCTATTCCATAACTAAAAAATCGGTGCTTAGGTGCTATGTCTGAAATCTGGGGGTTTTGTGTCAACACAAAGTATGCTCCCACACCTGGAGAAAAGGAAATGATCAAATGCAGAGATGTTGTTGAGAAGGAAGCACTTACATTCAGGTGTTCTGTGGTTTCCTCTTTGAGAGATTCGCAGGACGAATTAAGCAGTTCATAAAGAATGGTGTCGGCCCCCTTGCAGTACAAAGTCAAGTCACCTTCTGGACTCTGCACTATGAGGAAGAGGAAAAGAAATGCTACAAATCCCAAGCTGAGGCTTTTAGGATACACAGCCATTTTATGAAAACAAAGACAAGTTTCTAGAGGTGTCTGAATTCTACCAGGTTTTGGCAAACTCCCAGAGAATCAAGACAAACTCTGCTTAGAAAAGAAGACAGTGTGACTACTGCCCACCTTAGTGGTAGCAGCACAGCAACTGTATGCAGACTGCCTTAGTCTGAGCAGACACTCCTTTGGCCCACATTGTTCCTACAGGCAGCACTTCAGGCAGCACATCTTCATTCAAAAGTTAAGAACAATTTTTTTTTTTAGGGGACTGGTCTTACTGCTCCTATTTCTTTCATGAGTAAACTGTAACTACAGTATTCCAATTCCTGAAGTAACTAAGCATGTTGGAGGGTTAATAAAGGCTACAGAAAGGGGTTTTGATAATTTCTGCATTTTCTGTTTGGGAAGGTGGGTTTCTCAGTTCATCCTTTCTCCTTTCCTACTTCCTCAGATTTTACTGATAATTTTAAAGCTGCTTAGAAGGCAGGCCTTTCCTGCATTGTAATGAGGGAGGCGACATATACAAAAAGCTTAGTGTCTTCAGAAGGCTAGTGCATCACTGTGGTCCAGATGTGGAAATGTTCTTCCACCTGCTTTTCTACCACTGTTGCTGTGTAATGGAGAAGTCAAGGCAGCCCACCTCAAGCCCTCAAAAGTAAATGTTACTGTGTTATTCAGGAGCATTGCAAAGGAAGTCTCCTAGAAAAAGGCATCATAGCATAATGAGGGACAGCTCCAGAGCCTAAAACGTCAGGAAGGAAAGAAAGGAGCAAAGGGAACATACCAATCACAGACATTCGCTTGCGAACATTGTTGAAATCAAGAATAGCCAGAAGTTTGTAGACTTTTGTTTCTCCCATTTCCACAACAGTGATGGTCTCTGGTGTGCGAGCCCGGAACACGAATCCAAAGTTTCTAGCAGCAGTGACAAGGGCTCCCTCGTCAGGAGATTGGGCCTGATACACCAAGCTACCTGACATGAAAGGAAAAAAAGTGTAATGTGTTTTTTGCCTTTCTTCTGAGCTAAACGAATACAAAATCAAAGACATTATACAGCGGTGATCCCTTTGCTTTTCTGTCTATCCAGAGGTGTAGCACTGAAAAGCACCTTATGTCCACACATCTCCATCAAGTCCCACCAACCCATCCTCCAGGACAGTGCAAGAGGTACCCTAGATTCTTTTGGGGTCTTTAATCACTCTCTTTGGAGTCTAACAGGCCTCACTGAGAGGACAAGTTCCTTGGATTCAACCCCTTCTAGTAATATCTGCATGTATTTTTTGCATCAGTATTTTCACCTTCAATCTGTCAGTTAAGAGCTGTAGCCTTTAAAGCATGGTTTTCATCCTGTCTGAGATTTGAGGAGGCTGACCCAGTGCCTGTGAGAACACTGGGTGAGAGGAGCTAATGAGTCTCCAGTGGATAGGTGCTCTATGTTCTTTGCTTTATGGGACTAGAAGCAGAGTAGAGAAAGAGTGGGGCAAGCATCTGCCACCTCAGGGAAGCTGTGGCACCTGCAATTTCCGCACTCCAGAGATGTGGTGTTTGCAGTAGTGTCAGCTCCACCACAGGAACATACAGAGAGTGGAGGCCCTGGTCCTTTCTCTTCCCATGTGGCATCTCCAAAGACACTGATTTATGTGTAGTCATACACTACAGAAAATCACCAGGGAGCCAAAAGGACCAATAACAGCTTCTGTGGAGAGAAGACATACTGTGGTGCGAGTGAACATAACCACTCAGTCTGGTGCCTCCAACAGTCCTCACCTTCCTTCTTCTCTTCTGGCATCACTGTGTGACAAAGTGAGAGCAGCCGGAAGAACCTGTGTGTCGGGACATCATTCAGCTTCACAGCTTCAACCAGGCTATGGTCATAGAATGCAAACTTTGGGTCAGCCAGCGGGTTGTATGAGAAATCAACCTTCTCTGTGTTCTGCAAAAACATAGCTTGGTATTATTTGTGGAGCTCTTATACGCCTGTCCACCAATGCCTGCCAACACAGCCACTCTCTCCTCCTCACATTTGCAAAGGACCTACCCTGCAGGGCTGCTCATGACAGAGATTGGTGGATCTAAGTGGGAGGTCATGAAAGCTATCTAATCATAGGACAGGACAGGCACTAGATGTGCCTTTAAGAGCAGCACGCAGGCTGAGAACCAATGAGCTAAACTGACTCTCTGAATGGCAGCTAACGTTCCTACAGGACCTCTGCCAATGGATTTCTACAGCAAAGAAGTGCCTGCCTTCAACACATGCCTTCTTGGAGGCATCATGATCCTGACATCAAAGGCTGCCTGTGACAGTGCAGTGTGGAAGCCCAGTTTAAAACAATTCAAAAGGCTGTCTTCTCTACCCTATTCTCCCAAAGCAAGAAAAAATCCTGATATGGAAAAAATAGGACAGATGAGTGATGTAAAGGTTAAACTCCATGGGCATTGCCCATTTTGTCAAAAGACAAGGAACCCCAAGCAGAGTGGAATATGCTGGAGAAATGGCCAGAAGCTCTCAGCATGATGTGTCATGGAGAAATGCACTGCCAAGCCTGTCTGGGACACTTCTGACTCCTGCCCCAACCCTAATGAGCTCAGAGTTTCCAGGATGGGAGTCATCCTTCTGACCTCTGCACGCTGACATCTAGGACTTAGCACAGATCCACACCTCCCACACTCATCTGCACAGCAAGATCCAGGCACAGCAACATCATAGATGTGTGGGCAGCAGGACTCTGCTCCAGAGAGTACCACGGACAGGAGAGTGGGGTGGACAATTCGGAGGAGTCCAGCACATGTCCCCAAGCAAGGCCTGGAGGCACAGCACTCAGCACAAATAGCCAATTTCAATGGGTAATTTCAGTTCTCAATGGCCTGAAAATGAATCACTGGAATGAGGAGTGGGATTTTCACCATCTTGCTGTTTGTTATTTGGATTACTGCATGTAGGTTCAGACATTTTAGAAATAAAAACATGTGCATCTGTGCCAGCAAGCAGAGGCTAAAGAGAAATGTAGAAGTCAAATGTTTTCATACTTTACAAAGTCCAGACATAAGAGGAATTTGACAGTGACCTTGTTACTGATATGAACTGAGCTCACTAATTCCCCACTAAAGCTCTTATTAACTGCCAAGGTTAATAAAATTCACCAGTGTCGAAGTTTCCAGCAAACTTGGCCTAATACTTGGCTGAGTATCAATGGCCAAATATTCAACAGAAGCTGTGCGTGCAATAGGAAGTCATATAAAGCAGAGAGAACAGTGGGCCATTCCCAACCTGCAGGTTTTAAGCCAGGCTTACTGGAAAGGAACGTAACTAGCAATTCTCTGACATCCAGAGGAACGCACATCACTGTTATCAGCATCAAGAGCATCAGCTCTTGCAGGGTAAAGAGCATGAGCTATGCTTTTGTGGGTTGCGTCCACTGGTACTTAGCCAGGTTCACCGAAAGCACAGATCCTGATAGCACTTAAGCACTTACCTCATTTATTTCTACCCTTTGCCCAGACATATCATACACATCACCTGCAAGCAAGAAAGACCAAGGTTATAGCCACAAATTCTGCATAAGTGCAGTCTCTGAGCTTCTCTACCATGAAAACTGGTTACAGTGTTTCTAAGCAAGTATCTGTTGAAAAGGTTTCAGTAAGCATACATATCTTGACATGAGTACTGGAGACTGATGATACATAGCTGTCGGTTTTCTATGTTAATCCATGGCAAAATCCAGAGACTGACAGATCTTGAAACACAAAGCAGTAACCATAAAAATGACTGGCTTTTGGGTAAAGAAGACTTGGCTCAAGCTGAACCCGGAGATGACTTAGCATTAGGTAAGAAACAAAAATGCTTTCAGGGAATGACTTCTCTTGTACCTTTCCTTTTGAATATGACACAAAATCCAGCTCCTGGATCCTACTTGGTTTGCAACAGAAAATGAGACAGCCACAGAAAATGAGTTTTCAAAGCCCATTCTTCCCACACCTAGGTAGCAAAGCTGCTCTACTGATTTTCCCTGAACTGATGACCTGGTCATAGGAATACAAGACATTTCGGCTCTAGGAAACACTATTAAAACTTCTGCCTAAAGAAAAGTTTCACTCTGAAAGTCTGGACTGTGCCCAGCCCAGCCAGTCCCAACACTTAACTGAAAAAAGAGTGAAATGCAATGAGTTACGCAATATATAGACTCATATCTGCACCAGCAATCTCAACTGTGACCAAAGTCAAATGCAGTGCTTGTGGGCCTTCACAAAGGCCCTGAGTGTGTAGAAGAAACTTAGATGCCATCTCTCCTGAGAACTTCGTATCAGTTGATCCCTTGCGAAGTATAGCCAAGAGGCTTTTGGACATCTCCTTCCCTTAAGCCTCCAGAGTACCTTTCCTGACATCAGAACTAAATCATTCTGGCATATGACCCTGAGCAGCAAATCCAGGGAAGTACAATCCTAGGAAGAAGCTAAGCATTTTGCAAAACTATAGGCAGTAGACTGTTTGCTTTCTTTCCACATATTTCTCATTCATTTCTTGAACCCATTATGTTAGTGGCGAAATCCACTTTGGAGAAGTCATGGAAGAGATTTTATGATGGAAGAGATTTCAGACTGTTTAGCAGCATTAATGTTAGTTATCATAGTAGCACTGTTAGAGGTGTGGTGGTCCCCAAATATACACAAAACCAGATTCATAGGAAGAAATAACTTTTATTAGATCAGCTGATAGAGAAAAAGGGCAAACTTCAACAGGTCTGACACAGGCAAAGCAAGCATCCATCTGCAAATAAGCATCAACTAATTTCTCTGGGGCATCTAATGATATTAATCAATTAGTCAGTTTCCAAGGTGTTAGCACCTCCTGAGCAGTGTGAAGAAAACAGTTTAAGGCCATGCAATAAACAAGCCTTTAAAATCAATGACTTCTAGGATCTAACTGAGATAACTTTTTTTCCTATTTTATCCAACTCCCTGCAAACTTTTCTCTCTTCTGGTAGGTGAAGTATGTCAAGGCTAAAGACAAAGACCAGGCCATTGACTAGTCCAGCTATCTGAAAAGGATGTGGAAAATTGCTACTCACAACACGAGAAATTGCTGAATGTGAGAGACAACACATGAGAAGCTGACAAAATTTGCAGATAACATAATGAGGGATGGCTGATTTCATAAGTGGTTAAGAGGGAGTTAGTTATGTGTGTTAAATGTTATGTTTTGTGCAGGGTTAGCAATACCTGGGTAACCATGTCAATAATACCATAGAAAATGAGATTACCTAGGTAGTGATATCAGAAAAAATCCCCAAATTTGAGTACAGGTGTAGTAAATGTGGCGCTTACGGGGACAAAATAATAAAGTGCTGGTTCTGTTTGGATGATAGAGGGGCAGAAAAAGGGAGATAAAAGAATGGTAAAAAGGGAGAAACAAGGAAATCATATTAAGATATGCAAATGATGCAGTCAGGCTGCCCAGGCATCCCTGATGGGCAGCCCTGCACTTGATCACTGCAGTTTCTTACATGACATTCTCCTGGATATCAGAGTTAGTCTCTGCAGACCAAGAGGCATACAATGAAATAAAACTCCGAGAATAAGGCAAACAGATAACATACCGTAGGATTTGCCATTGATGGAGCACTTGTTGAAACACATGATGTTCTGAGTGAGAGTTCCTGTTTTGTCTGAGAAGATGTACTTGATCTGTCCCAGTTCTTCATTGAGTGTAGTGGTTCGAGCCTGAGCCGGTGTATCATTCAGTGGATAATACATTTTACGGTCCCAGTCGATGTAGAAACTGTTACCCAACCGTATAATCTCTACACTGATGAAACAGAAAGAGAAGGTGACGGAATATTCATTAGTTTAAGGGATAAGATCTTTATCTTCAGCACCACCATTAACGACTGTAATTAGAAGACAACTTTGAAGGTAATGACAGGTCGAACTCATCTGTCCTTAGATGGCTTTTGGTAAGGGATGCTGAAGATAGTCCCGCTGTTAGGTTTATAGCAAATTCCTTTACTTCATTTATAAAACAAGATCTTATAAATGTTCTCGGAAAGTTTCAGAAGTTTTCAGACTGAGAAGAGAGGCAGGAGCAGTGGGTTTCACTTAGTGCCATTCCAGGAGACGGTTTCCAGCAGGGCTCTGAGCTAGGCTCAGCCTGGTGCTGGGGGATGAGCACAACCATGTCTCAAACAACACAGAGCTCCACAGCATTTGAGCCATTTCGTCACTCAATACAACCAAAGAGAAGCATCAGCTTGCAGATAATATGGATTTCCACCTTGCTGTTGCTGTGACACACTGGACAGGAATGGTATTCATTCCTCTAATTTACCAACACAAAAGAGAGTCTCAGCAGCAAAGCTGACTGAAGAATGAGGTGCAATGATAAACTACTCAGTCTATACCCCAGCCTCAAGATTTTAAGAGCATCATAGACACATTGCCTACTTGTCACCCCTGCTTACCTATCTGCAATAACCAACAGAACCCTACATTCTCTGTGAGGAGGCAGCACTCAGACAGCTGATATAACACCAAGTACTATGGACCTTTAACCTAATTACACCTACTTACCTGGCCATCCACTCCTCACAGGAATCCTAATGCCACCTCAAAGAACAGGTGCCCTTTGATGGGCAGTGAAAAGAGCAAGATGCTCACTGTAGCAGGCTTCCAGCCTTGCTCCTATAGCATCCTACAGACCTACACCTCCGCTTTAACCGCAAAATCATCCTCTCCTCTCCCAGGGATCACTGCTGTCCCCACTCCAACCCTGATAAAGCCCTGAAGGCAGCAGAAATAAGAAAAGCATCTCTGTGGTTGTGTGCAATCATTCACAAGGGGGTTGCATTTGGATTTAAGGAAAATGCTGCTCCCAGCTAAGGCAAAAGCTAAAACTTTCTTAAGATCAAACGTGAAAGGAGCTTCTGGCACATACCTGACATAGAGTGAAATTGGTACCACTGTGTTTAGAATGATCACATATGACCAAAACATGAGGAAACCGGAGTAGGAGGCAGAGTTGACACCTTCTGCCCAGGGCAGATATACCTGGAAGTAGTAGCCCTTATCATGCTCCCAGATGCCATTGCCAATGGCTAGGATGAGACACATCAGTCCTAAAAATGCAAAAATCTGAAAAGCAAACAAACAAACCAACCAAATCAAAACTAAACAAAAAGTACTGCATTTTAGAAACAAGGAGTTTATTATGTATAGATTAAGGAAAAGAGCCTAATGAGACTGGGTTGGATAGCCTGAATCATAGGAAAATGTACCTAGGGATGAAGAGGAAAAAACAGTGATGTTATGACACTTTTACCTCACAAGAACAAAACTACACAGTGTACAGAGTATTGCAGTTTGGAATTACAAGTCTTCAAACAGCTGGGGATTTAAATCACAAGGAGACTTCTCAACTAGGGTGATCATGGTCAGTCACCTGCAGAACATTAGACCTAATTAGAGGTGAGTTGGGCTGAGGGTCCCCAAACATCTGGCTGCACACTTGTAAATAGAAACTGCCTGGAGGACTTTACCTGGCCATTTGCTGGATGCATCATAGTCTTTTTCACAATTTCTGAAAAACAACTAAGGATAACCCAGCACTGTGCAGTTAGGAATTCAGCACAGGATATCACTCTAATGATTAAAAGAGTTAATTGCTGACTTAAAACTAATGGTTGCCTTGGTGTCTACCCTCACAATTTGATTACATTTCCTTTGAGCAAATAGAAAGCAACACTAACCAGTGATGTGTATCCTTGGACTTTAGAGAAGCCTGTTTTCTGAAACCTAAAGCAACCAGGGGAACAGCAACTGGGAAGCAAATTTCAAAGTGTGACAACTTAGCGAAAACTGGGGCTTGCTTGTGAACACTGGTTTATAGACACAAAAGCAATATATAGGACATAAAGCATTTTTGATCAAAAGAAGACAAGAATGCGGCAATATTACTTGAAAAAGAATAAAACAGACTGGGAAGAAGGAAATTTAACAGAAATTAATATAAACTGCAAGGAATATAGAATTATGAATATCTAACAGCCATAAAATATCAAGAAGACAAAACAGTAAAGTCATAAACAGGTGTGTGAAAAGCAGATGTGTAAACAGTCAGTCCTCCAAGAGGAAGAAGGAAGAAAGAATAGGGAAGTATCTATTCCCTATGATGTAACAGATGGAAAAGACAGATTGTGGCCACTGACAAAGAACAACACTACGTGGCTCTATCTGCTAATAAGCATTATTAGCAATGCAGTGAGTCCATGTAATTTAAAGACGGAAGCTTAGAGGAACCAATAAGGTTAATTTTTAACAATGCTTTGAAAACTGGGAAGCTGTGCCATCCTGGAAATCTACTAACATAATTACAATGTTTGTAAGGTAGAAATGGTGATAGTGGGGAAGATAAACTGCAGTTAGTTAGCTTGACACTCTTCCTGGACAAATAATAATAAAATTATTCTTTAGACATAGACTTTTCCAAACATTTGACATAAAACAACCAATGTAGTAATAAAAAAGTGAAGACATGGAATCAACAGGCTGCACAAAAGAGTAATTAGAAATCATCTTTTGCAAGTATAATCATTAAGAAGGAAATATCAGTAAGTTGGGCCATTAAGTAAAGGCCACTCAGTAACAATCACATTAAAACAGTAATCAACCTTTTTAAAAAACAGTAATTGAGATACAAACACAGAAACCTTGATGGTAAAACTAATATTTGTACTGCTGAAGTAATCTGTGAGAGGAAGACTTTTATGGAGCAATATGAATCATTTGGTGAAAAGTTCATGCCTGATCAACTCGAGTTTTAATACCAAGAAGCCACTAAAAAGGAACTGCAGTAAGAAAAGGTGCTGGGCTGAGTTTCAGGGGACACATTTATTTCCCACATGAGTAGTAGCTTTTCTATTTAATTGTGAGAGGCCAAATAAATTACTTGACTTGTGAAACAGAGACAATATTCCTTGCTGGTAAGGAATGTGGTGCAGTGTTTTTAAATATCTGTGACCAGCAGTGAAAATAGACTTCAATCTGTGCTGTTGTAATTATTAGGACTTAAAGATATATGAGAGGCATGACCCACCTTGCTGCCCCACAGGTTAATTATCCACTCGTAGAATATCACAATACATGTAGGCATTTCCATGTATGATTTAGAAACAGAAATACACACAGGGCAAGGCAGCAGCTGAACTTTCCCAAGGTGTCCCTGCCCATGGCTGGGGTGTTGGAACAAGATGATCTTTAAGGTCCCTTCCAACTCAAACTATTCTGTGATTCTATATCACAACAGGAGCTTTTGTCTACAACTGCGCTTGCTTTATGCACATTTTGTTCTATGTGCATTTGGCCCTCACCCTTCACAACTCCACTGCAATACTTGTGCTTACACAAAGCTCACTAACATGCTGTTTGCTCTGAGACAAATGCGAAAGACTGATCCATTAACAGCAGCCCCGGAGATTAATTTCTGTGCAGAGAAACAACTCTGTGCAGGGTGTTGTAATTGTAACCACAGCCCTGCAAGGGAAGGACGTGAAAAAAGCCTGATTGTAGGCTTGTGCATGCTCATGGGGCTTCCCAGCATGAACATCTTTCCTTCCTTCCTGGGTCCTGCTCCTGCACTGCCTACAAAAAATGCTCTTGACTAAGAATTTTATAAAGAGGAGGTGACTTTTAACAAACATTGACAGTTGGACTGTGTATAAAAACTGTTTCAGTTTCTTTATTGGCACTTCAAATTCTGCTCCAGGATTTGAAACAGTAAGTTATATAAGAGATGAAGCTGACAGCCCTCCTTCTCTGAGAACATGCTCCCCCAAGCCTGCTAAAAAGCAACTTTTGGAGAAAAAAGCATTTCTGGAGCTGGCGGGTCCATCACCAGTGCAGGAACATTAGCTTGTCCCTCAGGTCACTGAGAAACACTTCCAAACGTGAAAAAACAGCTATGGTTGCCATCTGGAAAGGTTTACTCCTGATTAACCCTTGTTGGGGCAGACCAGGGCAACATTTAATGAGGCCTCCGCTGGCAACCTCCTTAAACACTGCTTTGTGTCTGGCAGTTTTATGGACAAATAAACGCAAAATAGCTTTGCCAGTGTTAACATGGAATAAGTTTTGGTACATTTAAATGAGCTATTAATAGCAAGCTGTGGCTGCTTTGTATTTCCAAACTCAAGAGCACAGTATACTGCCTGTTTTTATGACTGCTCTCTGTAACCTCTGACCACCCAGTGAGCTCGAAGGATCCAGTGCCACATCCCCTGAGGTGTGCAAAGAGCCTGGTGCCAAAGGTAGGACAGAGTTTTACTTAGACATCAAAATTTTAGGTTCCTTAAAAATGCGTAAAGGAGATAAACACACCCCTGGCTCCTCTAGCGCCCCAGAGCCCAGGCAGAGGCTGATGCAATCGGCTGCAACTTGCTCAGTTTTTTAAAATGGAGCCAGGAGGTAAATTCATCTCATTTGTGTTTATGAAGAGAGGCCAAACAGACTGAAAACTCTGGGTGGGATACTTGGCTTGTTGAAAGGAGATTTGGCAAATCTTAATCGAATGTTAAATTCCAAGTTCTCTATTCAGCTTTTCTCTGCTCCATTTCTGTGCCCTACAGATCCCCCACAGCCCATTATCCTCTCCAGCCAGAGCATAGCAGGACATCTAAGGAAATGTGAAGTTTTTCAAATGCTTGCAAAGTTTGGAATGTAAGAGGCCCAAACCTTGCTTGTTTTTGCTGTCCCCTTAAGGGGAGGAAGGGAAGAAAACACTGGGGAAAACAAGCTGATGATCATAATCAAGATTTTCACTTGGCAGAGATTGGTGCAAGGTTACTAAAGTCAAGGGCGTGTCCTTACTGTACATGGAACAAGGACTCAGGAGGGACTGAAGATGACCCTGGAGTGGCTCTCTGTGCTGTGGCATTACAGGGCATCCCTGGGCCCACCTAGAGAACTTTTGGGATCCTGAGAAAAAGGTAAGAAGACAGGGAATGAGGTAAACTGGGAAAGCTGGAGAATGGTGCCATCCTGGAAATGTTTGTTCTCTAAGCCCCAGTGCTGAGGAAGCATGAAGTCACAGAAGGCACGGAGAGCTCAGGATAGCCTTGCTGTGATGGACAGACTGGTGTTGGATGCCTCCTCCAGGGCTTCCTCCAGTGCCTGGGGATGGATGCTGGCCTCAGCTGGCTATGAAGTTGGTCTGGAGAGAAAGAGCAGGAAGGAAGAAGCAGCAACAGTGATCATGAGACCTTCCTAGTGTCATAAACTGAAGGTGTTGGAGCATGCATGACAAACTTGCACCCAAAGGAAAATAAAATCTGAAACTAACGACCTTTTCTTCAAGCAACATTGATTGAAGTAGTGTCAGAGTGTATGTCCTCCTTCCCTGAGTGGCTTTAAAATCAAGCAGTAAAATCTCGGGAGAGTTCATAAAAGAATCACTATCTCTGCCTGGAAGTATTTGCCATTTGTTAAAACCACTGATGAGCTTAACCCTCAAATTAGATCTGTTTTTCAATCTGAGAAGAGTGTCTGCTATATACGATTAGTGTTCTCAAATTTCCCAGCTGCTAAAAACATCAGTTTCTGAGCATGAATGAGACCATGTCTAATATTCTATCCTAACATGTTAAGTCAGAAGCTGGCATCATGTAAATTAACAAACTCAATTATCAAGTCCTATGCAGATACCACCAGAGATGCCACGAGATCAGAGGGAAGAGGGAGAACAGCTGATAAATAGAAAATGACAAAATTACTAGGAGAAAAAAGGCATTTGCAGGCTTCAAAATATTTCTTACACAAAAATGCAGAGCAAGGGAGAGCAGAGAAAATGACAAGCTCAGAAGAAAAGTCCTTAATTCTGCCAATGTAACTGCCTTGCTTTGCAAGATGGGCTGACAGAGGCGCTGCCAAACTCGGTCTGCTAATAAATTATTACGTCATTTTTCTTTTTATCATTAGTCACTTCTGATATTTCCTCATCTGTGTGGGCAAAGAGGTGGAGCATCTGGAAACGATGAACACATCTGAAGAAATGAAGACACATTAATCAGGCTTACCACCAACACAAGGACATTCATGAGCCGATCGATGCTTGTTCGTTTAAAAGTTGTTTTTCCACTGTTCTGCATTAGTTTGGTGTCTGGCCCTGGAGATGAAACATACTTGTTAATTTTAGTAATAAAGCCTAGCTGTTCTACAGTTGATTCCCTCTGAGGCCCCACTGCGCCTTCCAGCATAAATGACTATTGCAGTTTTCTTGAAGGCAGGTATGTACAGTTTGCAGTGCTGGTGGAAAACTTGGGCAGAAACAGGTTAAGTCATTTGCCTGAGATTAAATGGGGATAGTCACATAAAACCATTAATTCTGGACTTTGACTCTGCTCTCGTCTTTCAACATTCAATCCCCCCTTTCAGGTTTAATTACTTTTCACAGAATACCTGATACTGCTATGTTATTGGTGACATATTATACATTATCTCACATGTCTGGAGAAGTATAGGAACAACAGAAGGACTATGCTCATAAAAAGCATAGATCTAATCAATAATAATATTGATGAGCCTGGTATTCCAATATGGATTAAAGTCACATAGAAATTATAAGGAATTTAATTGAATACACTTGACAGAATTCTTAGCCAGATTTACTCCTTACATTCTTACTGATCGATCAAGAGTCCCCTCCTGCACTTTGCTGCATGCATTTCTGAAATAAAAAACTGTGCTGTTCTTGTACTTGGTAGAAACACATTTTCCAAAGAGGAAAATACTTGATTCCTCTGTGCCTGCTGGGTGTGATGTACTTCCATGCTAGTGCTGCTCTGCTCTGCAGTTCACATATCAGTCTTTCTACCTACCAGCATAAATAACAAGTCCAAAGCACCACTCTGTGTTCCTGATAGTACAGCCCCTCAGCAACATCTTCTCATTGTCCAGGGCATACTTTTCTCCCCGAAGAGTAAGAGTGCCTGTGAATTTATCCAGTTTGTTATTTGGTGCTTCACATCTGACTTCACCTATAAAAAAGAAGGTAAAAGCACAAATGGAAATCTTGTCCCAGAAGGATGTCATCAATACCTCATTCCCAGCTGTTCCCCAGAGACAGTATTTGACTTAGCTGCAGTCAACTCCAGATCCTGTCATTCCTATTCTGTATCTTACACTTACTTACTCGTCATTTGGGATGTTGCTCCTTCCCCATCTTCCTGTCATAATCCAATGGACCACAATGAATTTAAATTTATCCCATTCTTTGAACATGCCAATGTTTTATTAGTAGAGTACAAAACAAAGTTTCCACAGCTTTTATGTGGGTGAGAAGAAATGTTGAACCAGCAACATAGTTTTAATCCACTCACAGCGAGTTCATAGTGTAGGATGTCACTGGATAACTTTAGCTAAAAGTGCTGACATCACCTTTTTTCCTATTTCATTTTCTCTCAAACTGCAGGAGCCCAAGCGAGAAAAATCATAGCCTAAAGGCTGCAAAAGAGTAATTAACTGAGGTGTCTTTGTTCACTGTTTTTTAATTTCATCTGTTTTATAACTCAAGTCCCAATGGCACATAAAAAAATACTGCTACCTTCTTGGGCCAAGCAGCTGACACTGTAAGTGACTGGAGTGTCTTTTTCCATGCTTTGTATTTATTTTTTGTAATAAGATGTGTTTGGATACCTTGACATAAAAATTACTATTTAAATTACTATTTAAATCAACAGTTGCACCTGACATTTAAAGATTCAAAGCAGAGCCCTGTGGATGTATGGAAAAAAACTGGAAAATACAAATATGCCTTACTGAAAGGGAATCCAAGAGTTCAGTCTGTTCACTTAATCAGCAGGAGCATTAAAGTTATTTTGATCACAGCCTGAAAATACCTACATAAAGACTAGCATTTGCAGAGAGTACAGCTCTTCCAGCTATTCTCAGACAAAACACATCAGGCTTAAGAGACTGGAAACAAAATTCAGAGAAGTCCAGAAGAAAGGTGCAGCTTTAAGTATCATGACAGTCTTCACCACCATATATTCTAAAATCAAAAATGAATGTTATTTTCATAGAAAAGTAGCTCTACTCTAGGGCAGACAAACTGTCTGACTGGAAAGATGAAATTACTAGGAAATTTAGCTACACGTGACATCAGAGCTCATACTATGTTGATCTTCTGTTTTATCATCTGGTTAGTCCAACAACAACCAGACCTGTACCCCATCATTACTGAAAGCCTGCAATAGCCAGACCCACCTCACTGCCTCCCTTGCAATCCTTGAAAAGCACAAAGGAAACAGAGGCTTTGCACTGCAACCTGAAACAGCACAATGAGACTTTGGCAAACCAAACCCAGGGCATGATCTCTCAGCAGGAACAGTGTCTCTGTGGTGGGACAGTGCTCATGTGAGCACCTTGAGTCTGCTCTCCTGTAAGCAAGTGAGTCTGGGTTGATTTTGAGATCTGAAGAGATTCGTCCAGATGAGACAAATCACAAAAGAGTGAGAAGCTCTACAGATTCACCCAATCAACCCAGCAACTGCAGCTGAAGATACCACAACAAGACACATGCCTCCTGTCTCCCTCTCCCAGTAACAGCAATAAGATACCTGGAGTGTATTTCAGTTGAAAGGTTAAATACTGCCAAGTCAACATGTGATAAGTAGTAGATAACTGAAAAGTATTGTTTCTTTCCTCATCTCCCAGTTCCCTAAATCAAATAAAGAAGTTCAGTGTTTTGCAAGCATCTTCCTTATCTGAACCATCACTATGTCAAACAAACATCATAACTCACATTAAGCATTCCACTGAGTGCCTGTATTAGCTGCTCGACCCTTTCCTCTCTTCCTGTCTTAAAAAGTAATTAGATAAAGAGTTACATAAATATTTAAATATTCTGCAGAGGTTTGCTAAGGGAAATGCAAGGTTGGGTCTGATTCCAGGCACTCTTCCCAGTACACTGTCAAATATAAATCATCCTGGGAAACATTTTATTCAGTTTAAGTATTGTGAGGAGGCCACTTTTATTTACAACGTAACTAAAATAGAGATTTACAGAATAAATAAATATCTGATAAGAAAATTTGCAATTTTCCAAAATATTTTTAAACATTTTTTAATTAAGCACTTCCAAGAATGCAGTGTTCTCAGATAAGCATTACACTGAAAATGCTTGAAAAATTATTTTAGATTAAGATTTTGCTTACAAATTGATAGACACTGCAGCCTGTTCAGAAAAATAATTAAGGCATGCCACTCCTATTACTAACATAAAGCATCTAACTGCATCTGTAAAAACACATTTCTCAAGACCTAAAACACTGAGAACCTCAGCCATTACTTCAGAGAAACCCTGATGTACTGAGCTGATATTCAGCAAAGACCACACACATTATTGCCTAAAACCTCAACAAAGAAGGCAAAAGAAACTGTACCAGAGACAGTGCCAGCTTTATACTCTTTGCCACATCCCCACCACCTGTCCTGGAATCATCAAATACATTTTTTTAAAAATTATTTTCCTCCTTTATCTAAAATATTTCCTGAGAGCCTGCAATCCTTGAGACGTTCCAAGGACAGCAGCACTCACTCCAACCCTTTCCACACCGACTATCCCTGTAATCCTGTCCTCGTATCTAAGCCAGCAGGGCACTGCAGAACATGACTAACATCACTAGGTCTGTTCCCTTGTCCTCTCTCCACAGGCAGATGATGTATGAGCATGGAGCATTCTGTTTTTGACAGATCTGGTTCCTTTCTGTGTATGTGCTGCTATGCACTCCCAGGTATTCAGTGACAGGACACATGGCAATGGTTCAAGTTGCAACAGGAGAGGTTCAGAGTGGATGGTAGGAAACATTCGTTTGCTGAGAAGGTGATCACACACTGGAACAGGCTTCTTGGAAGGGTGATCGATGCCCCCAAGCCTGTCAGGTTTACGAGGCTTCTGGACAATGCTCTTAAAAACATACTTTAGCTTTTGGTCAGCCCTGAAGAAGTCGGGCAGTTGGACTACATGATTGTTGTAGGTCCCTTCCAACTTTTATTCTATTCTGTTCTCTCCTATCCTATTCTATCTTATCCTATCCTACCTTATCATATCCTATATTTGATATACAAAACAGCGCAAAAAAGGACACGTTTCCTGTTAACCACATCTGCATTGCCTGCCTTTAAATATTTTTAAATGCAGTCTTTATTGCGGCATTGAGAGAGGAGAGGAATGCTTTAGGCTGGGAAGAAGTCACCTGTCCTGTGTGCACAGTTAGTCCTCGGGTCTGTGTGGTGACTGGAAAGTGCTGCTGCTCAGAAGATAAATGTAATGGGTGCATCAGCATTGCTGCATCAATGTAAAAGTGCAGTGTGAGAATGTTTTGAGATCAGAACTAAGCATAAGGTTTTGGGAAAACAGTTTCCATTATGCAGTTACATGAAATCTTTTACTGGGGTTCAAGGTGGGTAGTATCAACATGTACAGACAGATACTAAAGCAAAGTGTGTGTCCAGAAGTAGAATTGCCACCAATGCAGTTTCAGGTTACAGCCATGCATGGCACTGAGACCTGCAAGCAAAGAGGGACCTCTTCCTCTACATATGCTGGTTTGCTGGCACTGTTTCCAGAGAAGTCCTAGCAGGAGGCAGTGGACAGCTTGGAAGGAAGAGTCCTAACCACCCTCTGGACTCTGGAGTTTAGGTAAATCCTCTGAAAAGTGAATTTTACTCACCATTAAACTCCGTCAGCTTCTGAAGATCTTCTCCAAGCTCTGCAGTGACTGTCAGTGCCTGCTTCACCTTCAGGTTTGTTTCACTGTGACAAACAACATGAGACAAAAACATGAACTGAAAGTCATATGTGAACTGAAAGCTCTCCCTGAAAGTCACTTCTGCTCTTGGGGACAGTCTTCTTCCTTGGACATCTGATGGACTGTGTTACCACATGCCTTTTTCACCTGGCCAGTGCATGTAGATTGTCTCTTTCGGTTGCAAAGACAGAGGAATTCTGGGCATGGTATCATGGTATTAGAGGAGGTGAGGTGAGAGGTGAGGTGTGTATCCTGTCACTCATGACACATTTGACCCCAAGGTATCTGAGCACACAGGAGAGCTCTGGATCTCTCTCATGGTATTCTGATCCTGAAGAGTACTCCAGTCTCGGGACTAGCTAGCTGGGGAGTTTGAAATGCAATGTCAAAAGAATATTGCATTTGTTCAGGGCCTCTTAAAAGTGGTACTTGTATGTGCAAAAGCTACAAGCTCATTTTCAGCAGAAATCAAACAGGGAAAAAGTCCAGAGGGCTGTCTGTAGGGTCTTGGGAGAGACACAATTTCTTGAACTCTCTGGTCTTGCTTATATACAGGCAGTGCAGAAACAGTAGTGCAAATTGGGTCATAAAGATGAGGTCAGATCCAGTTTATTCCAATTAATACAAGTTGCAGCCCTCTGCCTTGTGGCCAGTTGTGTCCTGGAGTGAGCAGCATTTGGAAGCTTTTGCAGTGTACATGCATTGATATTATGGTATAGCAGTCCAAAGGAGATTACTGGATCTATTCATTATGATTATCTCACCCAGATAATCTGTCTAAAAAAAAAAGGGAGATAAAAGAAACAGAAAGCTTCTGCCAGTGACCTGTGATATTGCACAAACGTATGTCTAACTCTCAGTGTTATAACTGTAACTGAAAAATTCCCCTCTAATGTGACTGAAGGAGGCAAAAGTATCCATCGGATGATGTTATTTTCAATATACCTATCCAAAGTTTATTCTACATATTATGAAACCCTGGCTACAAAAGCTATTGCAGGTACACCTGCTGCACCCAGGGTCACCAGGTTTTGCAGTGGTGGCCGTGACTGCACCCAAGGGCCAGGCTCACTTACCCATCCAGCTCAGCTGTCTCGATGTACGTCAGGCTGTGCGGTTCACTGCTTGAGAGTAACAGTAGATCAGCCTGAACACAGACAGACAAGACTTGGCATGAGTTCACACAGTCTGTAGGCGCTGCACCACAGTGCTGCTTGTGGTTACTGCCACACTAAGACTGATTTTCTTGTGAATGATGAGAGTGACAGAGATTAACTGTGATCAGGATAGAGAGAAATGGCACTCACCGTCACAAAGTTGTTGTTTTCTAGTTTTATTATATCCCCCACTTGGACATTCATCCATTTTTGTTCCTTTAACCTGCAAGAAAACTTCTGGTAAGGAACTACATAAAGTGAACACCACTTGGGAGAGCAGTATACTCGTCTCTGCTCCTGGAGCCAGACTTGGGCTGTTGATAAGATGGAACAGGGTCTGCCATGGTGCGTCCTGATCCATACTAAGCTAGCGGACCACTACAGTGCAAAGAACAGCAGTAAAAAGCAGTGGCTTGGGAGACCTGTGCCAGGTTGAGACCAAGTCCCACAATGGCAGCACAGTTCATGTGAACTTTCCTTGTCTCTGGACCGACTACTCCCTTCCTTCTCTTAAAGGGCCACATTGTCTCAGAAAATAAACCTCTCTATTTTGTGTAAGAGACTTCCCAAGCACCTGTGAAAATTGCTGACTGTGTTAGGTTTTCAAAGTGGTATTATCAGCCACAGTAACTGGATGTCAGGAAGGTCAATGCAGGTGCTTTGGCTGTGCATGTGTCTATCTAAGCCAAGTCTGCAGTGGTCTTCACAGCACTAAGCCAGACGTGCACACAGGCAGCCAGCTAGACTGCAAGCACAAATCTAACTAAGTCATGATAACTGTATATGCAAGATCTAGAAGTGAGAAATATCAGGAACTACCTCAAAACAGGACTGGTACTTAAGCTTGAACTCAGCTCAGCCTTGCTTTTTTAATGTTGGTCAGAATTGGGCAGGACCTGCGGTTTCCATTTTTAGAAAAAGGCAGAATGTTATAAAACTTCTGTTTCAATGTGTGTTTCCTAGACGCAGTAACTAATACGTAGTAGACTAAGAAACTGGTTTACTTAGCAGAGAGCACAAAAAGTGTGTTCCTATTCTTCAGTTTCCAGTGTATATATTTTTAACTGTTTGATCATCTGTTGACGCTTACACAACATACTGTTTGCTATCTATAGTATGGAAGTCACCAGAGACTTCACAACTGTCTACAGCCGTGTCCTACACAGAGTTGGACTCCATGGAGCTGCAAGTAAACAGCACATCTGTCTGCCATGAAAGCCAAGGCCTCTTCTTTTGTTTTTCTGCAGGAAAGAATAGTGCTAACAGTGCAATGTCCAAAGCACACAGTTGAAATATTTTTAAGTACGTTTAAGCCAGAAGTTCTACACACACTCAAAGTATCATGACATGTACGAGGGAGTAATTCCAGTTTCTTAATTTCAAATAACTTGTTGATAATGCCTAGTATTGCTCAATGCAAAATAAATGCTGTGAGCATAAATGGACACAGAAGATCACTTTGCTTGCCATCTCTGGGGTAAGGAGTAAAATAACTAAAGCACAAAGTACTGCTTACTTAAACATATATATCCAGGAACGGAAGGAGTTTACTTTTTGTCAGCACAAGGTCACAGCACAGATTGTGGTACTAGGTCTTGGGTTCATTAACTGAACACATAGTCTAAAACTGCACGATGAACGAGTAGTGTGAAACACAATTCAATTTTAAAATGTTTAGGGATTCTCGGGAAACATACACATACACCAAAAAAAAAAATTAAAATATTACTAATAGAATGTTCTTGCCAGTCAGAATTACAGCAAAAATCAAAAAGACTTACATGCCATTGATCAGGACCTGGACCGGGCGGTTGTTGACGTGTTTGTCGCTTTTGTGTCGATTCTGAAAATTGGATCAGTAAGTTAAAAGGCATTTCCAGGAAACCAAGCACACTAGAGCCGTAGGCTGTTCATTAACATTTTAGGTTTCCACCCAGCTGGCTGAATGGGTCAGGCAGATTAGGGTCACAGCTGAGTCAGAGTCTAGTGCATGTTTACACTCGTAACACAGGGCATAACTAGTCTGCAAAGAGCAACAGGCAACATGGGGCTTATTCTTGGAGGGAGGAAGGAGGGTAGAGCCTTATATGTCACTTAACAGACTTCTAACTCGGTGTTGCTTCTGTCCATGTCAGTTTGTAAACACCAGAGAAATTCATTCTTCTGCTTCGATACGGAAAGTGGCCACAGATGTTTTGGCATTGCTCCATAGAGCATCAAAATTATTTTAGTAATGAGAGAAAACCAGATTATAAAATTAGCTCTAATATCACCCCGTGAAGTCATTGGGACTTTGACTATTAGCCCTGTTGGGAGCAAACTTCGGCCAAAGCTAGGCAAGTTTGAAAAATCACAGGTGGGTTGAGCTCTTGCTTCCTACCAAATGTTTTTTTTCCGTATACATTGAGCTAGATGACAGAGGATGAGTTCTCCAAAGTGGAAGCCTAAGAACAGACTTCTGTGCCAGCATCCAGACATATCTATCGGTGACCACATTTTCAAACATGCTGAGTAGTTTCAGAGAAAGTCAATGGGGCTGCTGGGCCGCTCAGCAATATGAAAATTCTAGCTCCTTTTTAGGTAACAAACTGTAGATTTGGGGATCTAATCTCAGACCCCATCTTGGCCACAGACTAGTTCTCCAACTGCCTGCCTCCGGCTGTGTTTAAGTGGTTTGTTTTAGTCACTGCTGAAGTATCACAGGCAAACTCCAAAGTACAGGTCAGAAATCTTACAAAATCATCGATGGCATCTTTTACGCCTGACACAGCCAGCACCAGCACCAGGGGCACCACTGTTGTAAACCAGGCCAGTGAGGAAATCTGGGGAATCAACTGTGGGAAGAAAAGATCTGAGTTAAGAAATTTCCTGCCAGTTCAGAAAACCATTGTTTCCTAATCAAGCTTCAGACAACATTTTTCTGCGGTATCTGAATATAGAATAAAGACAGAAATGCAGCTCTATCCCTGATACGTGACCCCACAAAAGTGGGAGAGCCAGGGAACCCAAGCTTTGCTTACAAACAAGCTGTAATTTAAGTTATAAACTTGGAGCTGTCAAAAAGTGTAGTGGGTTGCTATTTCTTCTTGTTTGTAAAATTAGGACTGCAAAGTCCCCAGTGGATTTCCTTGGAAATACTGACATGGGTAAGCAAAGCCTGCTGTGAGGAACTCAGAGCTATCTGAGCAAAACCAGCTGTGCAGAGCCTTCAAAAGCTTCTGTTCTTTGTTTCAGTAACTCTTAACATTTTGCTGAAGTAAACTTCACATCACCCAACTGGCAATATGCATGTCCCACTGGTCTGTGACAAAGGAGTAGGCAGGCAAGAGTCCCCACAGCCTACACATCACATCCACTCCCAGTGAAGGAATTGATACACCCAGTGCCACAAGGATGGTGTGAGGGGAAAAAATTAAATGGAGCAATATGTAGATATAACAGACTAATGTCTGCCCTCTTTAGACTACCTTGATGTCAAGAGAAAGCTGTGTGCTTTTATATACACTCTCTCCTAGATGGCTCAGCAAAACACACAGTGAAATAATTTAAGGCAAATAGTGTGAAACAGTATGAATTTGACAGACAAACAGCTAGAGTGCAGTACAACAACACAGGAACAGTACTGTCAGCTTGGCTGAAAAGGCATCTTCACTAGTTTGTTGAAAAATATACTATCACTGAAATTTCCAAAATTCATTCCCTGTAAATAAGCAAAGATATATGTGGTCTTCTGCAGGCTTGACCACATTTTACCTATGCTTTTTTTGAGCTGAAATTGTAAAAAAAGCATTTGAAATGAGTTATTTTGCAAATTTGTGTGCACTGGAATGGCCAAATTTAAAATATCATCCTTAAAACACAATCAAACTTATACCCTTTTTCCTGATAATGTGTGCTCTGATATGACTCAACAATAACAGAGTGCACTGCTGTATTTTAGCAAAGTGCAAAGGGTCGGAAATCCTGGTATCAATTTCTCCAGTACGTTCAGCTTTCAGGCAGAGTATTATTACCAGCAGCAATGAGCAAGGTGCAACTTAACGCCACTATGATCCACAGGGTTCAACAGTGTCACCAGTGTCTGAGACACTCCATATTGGACACCTTCCTCAGCCTGAAGCAGGGAGCAGCAATATTCCCCTTTATTCGAACTACCCACAACATTGAGCCTTCCTGATGTTAACTCCTTCCCGCCCAGGGAAACAGCATAGGTTATACATTTATTCTTCTTGCTGTTGCCTTTGAGACTGCCAATGGAATCTGCCTTAAAATCTATTGGGAAGAGACAACTTGGCTTTATACTACAGAAGGAATAAGTAATGCAAATCTGAGGACAGCCAGGAGCAGTCAGATGTAGACACAAAGGGGCAGTAGGACATGACATGAAAAGTTGCACAATTTGTTGAAAAGTTTAATTAAATTTTTTTCTTCATTTAGTTCAAATCCTCATATGCAAAGTTAAGAGACAAAATTGCTTTTTCTCTGCCCTACTTTCTATCTCCTATAAGGTTTTACAAAGACACTAATTCACAACAGGGATATAACTTGCTCTTCATTACATCTGTCAAACATAGACTGGCTTTGATAACAAAGAACACAAGCTGCTGGAAACAGCACAGTGAAGTCATACCTGCAAAATCAGCAAGAAAAGAAAGTAGGCATTGGCTATTCGCTGAAACTGTTCAAACAGGTTGAGAGGCAGGAAAGTGAAGAAATTGTATTTCGATGTTTTAATTGAATTGTTCTGTAAGGAAAAAAATATAAGGAAAATAAGTAGGATTGGTAAAACAGGAAACAAAATTACAGCACAACACATTTCAACTGTGTTTTACTTGCTTATATTTAGCAATAGCATTGTTTCCAAAAGCAGCTCAAAAAACGTTTCCTTTTCCCCCACACAATCATGCCAAGCCTGGATAAACAGAGAATTCCTTTTGGAACTGGTGAAAACATGATGCTCAGTTTATGCCAGTGCTGATACAGGTACATATAGTTACTCACAAAGAGATACATTTTCACTTTATTAATAGTCTTCTTACACATGCACAAATAAAATTAAGAACTGTAACCAGCACACAAACAATTTTGTTGTCAGAATCTACAAAGCGGTGTTAGAAAACACATGCCAGGTCAACCATCTGCAGCTTGCCTGAGACTCTGAAGCACACATCAACTGGACATCTCCACAGGAACTAAAGGTCCTCTCGTGAGCAGAATACGACATTATTATTATTTTCGGCTGATTCAGCAACCTTTCAGCTCAGCAACTTCAAGAGGTGGCTTGTTTCTATTCCACAAAGATCACCTGAATGTGGTGTTTTGCAAACAGCCACAAACACCAGAACTCGCTATTTCAGCAAGCGAGTTGCAGCTCTGTTCCCCATTTCCAGTTTCCTTTTCTAATTGCAGATGGCCCCTCCAGCCACAAGAAGCAGCTGCTCCCCTGTCTGTCTTCTGCAAACCAAAGACCCAAGCTCTAGATTAATGAACTGGGCATTTTCTCCTGCAAAGCTCGGAGAACTCTGGTCCAATACTTGATACCAGCCAGTCAGGCTCAATCCATCATACTGAGCCCACCAGCTTGGGCTGTCCCTTCAGTTTTCGATGCTAGACTTTCTTTTCATACGAAGTTTAACAGGCACTCATTCAGGTTTAGTCCTGGAAGGATTTATGTCATCTGTTCCCAGCACATCTAAAATTCCCCCCCACCCTGAAGCTCTCAAGATGATCCCTATTAACCCCCTCCCAGGTAACCTAAGATATGACAGCACAAGGAGGCAGATATGAAGTGCACTGTCATTCCATAATAGGTTTGCTGGTTCAACAGAAGTGAAAATGGTGAGTGCAATATTGTAAGAGCCTTTAGATATTGCTTAACTGGTGGGAGGACAGAAGTTACTAAGTATGAATCACAGCCCACTTCTAAATCCCTGCATTAATCCACGATCTCAACATCTACACTGGCACACATCAGCATTTTTCCACCACTAAATCAATTACTTAAGATTACCAGTGTAAGGTGTGTAGGGGGGAAGCTACTCCATTTTAGGCAGTTACTGGATTTCTTTATGCTCAGACACAAAGTACAGCAATGTTATTCAGCATTAACTTCATGTTTTATCCCTAGGACAAGCTGAATGAATAAGTCTCTAAAAGGGCAGAAATGGAAACACTCTTCATGGAAGAGCTAGAGAAATCCTCCCATTGATTGCACTCCAGCAAGAAAGGATATTTATCAAAAATCATCATATAAACAATATTGCCTCTCTTCTGGCATTGCATAGCCACCCTCAAGTGTCATTAACTCTGTGTCATGACACATAGTTAAATTTGGTTTATTTCAAAATTCTTTACCATGGGATATGTATTGCAGACAGCCTCCATGGACACTGCTGAAACAGAAGCAAAGGAATAGCAGCATCCTCTTCAAACCCAGCATAATGAGAACTAAACTGCTTGACATGACTGTGTCCACCAGACACAGAGTCTAGCAGATTTTTTAATAAAAACTGGATCTAAATATCCTCCTGCCCACTTTTCTGAAGAAAAGTATCACGGTCATTTACTTTAAAAATAAAAAAAAAATGAAACAGAAAACAGTAGCTGCAGGAAAAAGTATGTGGAGAGGACCTGACCTTTGTGCATCAACAGATTTCAGAGGGTCACATACAACATGGGAAAAACTACTCAGTAAACACTCAGATAAAGTTCATAGATCTTTGCCTGCAAAAATCTCAGAGGGGAATAAGAAAAGAATGGGAGTGGTTTATTTCAAATCCTGTCTTCTATTTCTGTCCATTAGTTACGTCAGGAAAACCACCGAATGAACCACAGCCATTCACTTTGTTTCCTATTGCCATTAGGCATGGTAAAAACCCCAGACATAACAGCTTCCAAATGCTTAACTACAGGAATCTGGATATCCAATGTATTCTCCGTAGTTGTTCAAGATCATGATACTGTTGGGCACACACTGTCTTTTGGGACACTGGAACACTTCAGACCTCAGAATAAGGACAGGGAGTATTATCATGGATTTTCTCATTGTTCTGGAATCTATAATTAAAACTAATCACCTGAAAAAAACCCTCATAACTACTATGAAGCTTTCTAATTCAACACATAACTTGTTCATGGACCCCAAGGGCTAAAAGAATATCAATGGTAAATTATAATGACAAACTAGGGAAACCTTCAGCCTTTCCAGTTCAAAGCTTTGCATTCCCACATCATGGATACAGTTGAACTCTCTGCAAGGTATCACAGAATCACAGAATGGTTTGGGTTGGAAGTGACCTTAAAGATCGTGTTGTTCCAATCCCCCTACCACGGACAGGAACACCTTCCACTAAACCAGGTTGCTCAGAGCCCCATCCAGCCTGGCCTTGAACACTTTCAGGCATGAGCCATCCACAGCTTCTCTGGGCAACCTGTGCCACGGCCTCACCACCCTCATGACAAAGAATTTCTTCCTAGTATCTAATCTAACTGTACTCTTTCAGTTTGAAGCCATTCCTCCTTTCCCTGGCACTACATGCTCTTTATAGAAGTCCTTCTCCATCATTTTTGTGGGGTCCCTTCAGTTACTGGGAGGCCAAAATCAGGTCAACCTGAAGCCTTCTCTTTTCTAGGAACAAGTCCAGTTTACTCAGGTATCATTTATGTTTTCATGGAACACTACAGGGCTGTGTGCTTTGATAGCTCAGGCTCTTGGTTGACTACAGGGAAATCTCAGTTCATCTTTGCTCTTGATCTTACCTTTCTATGTGATGCTGAACACCATCACCCCCTGTTACTCTTTTGAGCTGTTCCAGAACGTGACTCTGGGGTGGGAGGGGTGCTTTGGGAACCTACAGCACCGCAGTGTGTTAAATACTCCATATGCAGCCATCATTTTATAAGCAACGCCTCTAATACATCATCTGCCTCACATTCCCCGTGCTCTGCCTTCAGCGAGGGAGACTCCCATAGAGAAAAAGTCGTGGAGAGGAAAAACCTTTTTAACAGCAACTAGGTGTTGAGAGGCCTTACCAGAACTTCTGGTTTTCCTATAGATTTATAAAAATCAACAGCTAAGCAAAGCAGCCCTATGGGCTAAGCACAAAGATGGGAATGGGGAGCTTTACTCTTACTCCCAGATTTGCCCTAGACTTCTGCTTTTCTGAGGGCAGTCCCTGCATGCACCTGTGTCCTAAACGGACAGGTTTGAGCGTGGTTACCCACCGTCAGCCTCAAGCTCTCCAGATGCGAAGTTTGACACCAGAGCAACGTTGTCTGTGGGTGAGGGATTATTCTCATCTGCTCTTTTCAGGGGCTAGATTCACACCTCCTGGAGGTGTGACTCCACCAAAATGCTGTCCCTAAGAATAGTGCTCATCGCGCCACAGTTACACAAGTCCAGATCTGGAGGATGAGCTGTTACTTTGGGGGTGTTTTCAGAAGCCCGCCTGTGACGTCCGACTGCAGGCAAAACTCAGCAGATGGTTCCTACCTTTGTTCGCTGAGCAAACAAATCATCTCCTCGCCACAAAAGTCACTGGAAATAAGAGACACTGCTGCTTTTGTGGCTAGATTATGGGGGACTAAAGGGTATGGCAGGGTACTGACCCTCTGAATTTATACCCCTGGTTCAGTGAAATAATAGTTCCCAGTAGCTGGACAAACTAGCCCAAAGCAAATTTTAGCAAAACTTCAGCAATCCCACAGGGAGGTGTTATGCCACAACACGTGGCAATTTCCCTGGTACCCGTGTAGCACTAGGTACAGACCAATGAACAGCTGAGAAGCAGAAATGTCTTTCCCAGGTGTTTTGATAAAGCCTTGCAAGGAGGCAGTGGGAGCACAATTCCATGGCATTTTGTTTGACTGCAGCAGCACTACTGGAAAGCATGCAGATGCTATAAAGCGAATATGTGACCATAGGGCTGTGAATGTGCTCAGGAAGATATTTAACAAACTCATGTAGCAGTGCACATGGTGCCACAGAGGCTTTGTTTCCACAGGGAGTACAGAACAGTCAGATCAGATCAGTTTTAAGCCTTCAAATTTCACTGCCTTATTCCTGACTGAGAAAGGCCAACAGGATGTAATGGTGTTAATCTGGTCCCTGTAAAGGTCCCTGTAAAAAAATAAACTCCCAGGAGTAAAAGACTGGCCAAACACCAGAAATAAAAATAACTAAAACCAAACAACAATTTTTGGTCTTTTTTCCCCTTTTTTCTTTTTTTTTTCTTTTTTTCTTTTAACGCAGAAACAATGGGAATGTCTTACATTATCTAACCCCTCAGCCCCCTCTTGGCAGTACTAATAAAACGAGCTCCAGGATCTCATCACATATTCGGTATTCCAGGAAAGTCTCTAGGAAAATGTGGTCATTGGTTGTGTTTTCCTATGTTGTTCCTTCTGCCTGCTGTTATCCCATTTACTGAGCAGTTAATCATCCCTGTGGCGAGTGTCCTCATCATGGTGGTGCAAAGGAGGACACAGAGGTGCCAAGGCTTGACAACCTCATGTCATTACTCACAGGTGGGCCAAGCACAGGACCTCATCCTCTTTGACCACACTGTGTTCTCCCCTGGCTCGGCTCAGTAGCTGGAGCTGCTGCCTGGAAGGAAGGAGTAGAGAAGGGCAGGGCACTGCTGAGTGGTGCAAAGGAGGCAAACTCCCTACCACTGTACTCTGTTCATTAGGGTCTCATACAACAAGATTCCCAGCTAGTATGGTCAGAGTTTTGTCCCCATGAGGTCTAGTCTGATGAAGAGTGAAGGACTTGGTCCTAAGAAGAATATACAGACTTCAGTGAAGTTCACATCTGGCACAGCTCAACCTTAACGTGCTTATCAGGGCTGTAATATGCCTTAAGGGCCTTGACCTCACCTGGTGTCTCCATCCACAACCGCAGGAGCTCATTTTAGCCCAGCCTTGAGCCTTCTATCCTCACCTAAGCTACACTGTAGGAGTCCCTCTCTCCAGACTGACATCTGTCCTAGTTTTCCAGATAGACCTATCCAGCTCTACCTCCTGAATGGACCTTGGATTTGTCACACAGACTACTGCTCCTTCCTGGCTCCCCAGGCGGGCCCTGGACCTGGTTCATCACCTCACCTTGTCTGGGATGGTCAGGATGGGCCCCATTACCAGCATCCTGCCTTGTCTCCCTCAGCCAGATGCTGCAGGACTGCACCCTGGTCAGTGAGGGCTCTGCCTGAGCTGGGATCACCTCCACACGCACTCCCAGCTTGGCCCTCTTGTAGGGCAGCCCTGCTCTGGCTGCTCCCTGGCAGTGCCTCAGCTGGTCTTTATATGAATCCAGCTAACACCTTTCTAAATGCAGGAGCACTGCAGGTTGCTGCTGCATCTATTCCTTCAGAGGCTGCTCAGACCACTTGTCACTTGATCAGACGATGCTCCCTTCGGTCTTGAGCATGAAGGACACTGGGAGGCATTTGAAGCTTGAGATGGGAAGACAGGGCAGCTGGTGCCACTACCCTGACCACTTTGATAAGGTCCTTGAGGATAACCTACAAGGCATCCTTCTGAGATCAAAGCATGCAGAGAACGTGCTTCAAAAGCAGAGTCTGAATCCACTACTGGAGCTCCCTGCTCTCTGAGTAAATTTCAAAGAGATAAGAACCCAGCTGCTGATCCAGCCAAGGGCAATGTGTATTGGCCATAGGAAGTTATATACATCCCTCCTATTTCACTAAAGACTTTATCAGGTGACCCAAGAAAACAGAAGCAGAGTCCAAGTGGCCCCCTTGCTGCTGGTTTGACAAAAGAATGTTTGACCCTGAATCCTGATCCAAGATGAAATTTGTCATTGACTCATAGGCCCTGAATTTCCTCTCCTATTGTCTGAAAGCCAATTTCAAAGTTGTTTTCACAGCCCTTCATGATGTCCCAGTGCAGCTGTGCTAAATTCCAATGTGAAAGCGAAGAAATAAAAGGGAACTGGGATCAGAGCAAACATTAAAAGCCTTTAGAAGAGATTTCCTTCTTGAGAATGCTGATGTAGAGCCCATCGTGGTGGACCCACATGGGCAGTCTCCTCTGTAGCTGTGCTGGGGACAGTGCGGACAGACTGGGGACAGTGCAGACAGATTAAACTGACTCAGATAAGAACCTTGATTAAAGCCCTTAAATCTTTCTGTACCACATCTGCCACCCTGCTTTTCACTTTATTTACACAGACAAACCTCTTACTGAATTCAAGAAGGATCTTTCCACTGGCAGCGTGAATAAACATGGGATTAGGACTTGACTTCTCATTTTTACTGACCTATATTGAGTCCTTTTTTGTGCTGTTCCAAGTGCCTTTGCATGCCACTCATTCACACTTGGTTTCTGAGTCATTCCTAACTAATTTTGTCAGCTGGTGGGTAGTACCTACCTTCACGCTCAGCCCTTCCAGTTAACTGCACAGCACTTTGTTTTGAATTTAGTTTTATTTTCTAACCCTCCTGCTCAGCTAGAGAGGCTCCGTGGCTGGAGGAGCATGGCAGGGACACTCTGCAGTTTAGCAACTTGTGTATTTTCTGATGAGCTCTGGAAGGGAATTTGCCCTCTGAAGTTTTCTGCGAGTTCTGGTGTGATGGATCTGGACATGCCCTTGCACGCATTGGCTGACATGGCTTTCCACAGTGCAGCATCAGGATCCTGCAAAGCTGGTTTCAGCATATTCAGGAGTCTCACTTCATACCAGGAGGGCCAGCTTTCAGCAGCTGCCAGAGCTGATGTCACACACAATAGAGTTTTCAAGTCTTTATCAGCTCCTCTTTTCTCCCTTCACAGATATCCTGTAAACTTTGCATCGGGAAGGGACAAAGTCCCACCAGGGATAGCGATATTCAGGGACAACACACCCACCTCTGGTTGTACTTTCCCACTTCCCTGTTCTCACTGAGATTAAAGGAGGACAAAGCATATCTGTACCTTTGATCTATGCCTACATAATAGAGACTCTCCTTTTAGCGAAAGGCTCAAACCTTCACACCAGCTGGGACGTGGAGCCTGGCTGCAGCAGTAAGGCAATACACAACAGCTCAGTTTGCATTTCCCTTTCTTTTTCCTTACTGGCCTTTCTCAGTAACTGCCTCACCCTAAAGAAACATTTACTGCCTCATCTAGCATTGTTACAAGAACCTGTTCTATAGGTTTCACGGCTAATGTGGCCTTAAGTTACCAAGTAAATTAAACCTCACTCCTGCGGCTTTTACTGTCTAAAATACTTTGTAATATTGGTGAGTTTCCTTTGGATCTTGGTGGGTTTTCTTTCTCCTTGGACCACATCCACGTGCTTAGCAGTGCAACCCCATGATGTTCAGACAAATCTGAACGTTAGGAAGGGGCCCAAATCTGACCTTTGCCTGGAAGAGCTAACTTTTAGGAGCATCATGTGTACGTTTATGGGAGGGTACCAGGAGACTATTTCTCTTTTTGGCATTTGCAGATGCATCCAGCAATCTATAGCATGGGATCTGAAGCAATTTATGAGCAACGTTAGTCCTTTTCATACGCCATAGGAATGCAGGGTTAAACAAACTGAACTTTGGCCAGGACTTACTGGAAATAAGTAGCCCAGGAGAGGATGTACAGCTGTTACAGTTAGGGCAGTGCTTGCATCACCACCTAAGGTCTGTTAGTACCTCACCATCCACTTACCACTGGAAGGCTTGTCTCTTTTGTGGCAGTTTTCTGGATTTCCTAAGCCTCAGTCTACACTGGACTCCTGAAATCATGAGCCAGAGCTGACTAATATGAGGGGCAGGATTACTGAAACTCACTGCCAAGTTTTAACAGATTATACTGAGCTAGCTTTTTGGCTGCCTTCACTTGAACACCTAATCATAAACTTATGGAAATTCTGAAGAGTTCTTAAAGTCATCTACTTAAGTGTGGCTATTTGCAAATCCCTGGGCATGTAAGCAATCAGCTGGGAAGCAGTGTCATGCAAAGTCAGTTTTATGAATGGCTTTTCACAGAAATAGGCTCGAAACCAGAAGAGTTGCTTGTTCTCTCTACCCTGACACCAATGCCCATCTCCCTCCTACTTTCCTGCTCCCTTACAGCACATAGCAATCACTCAATGGAAGATGACAAATCCATATGTAGTGGTAACACCCACCCCACTATGCTATGGGCAGGTTCTGTGCAAATCAAGTGCACTTTCCCAGTCTCAAATCACCAGTCTTGATAAGACATTCACATTGCATAGTCCTTTACATATATTAACTTCCATCTATTTCACATTCAGGACTCATGCAGCAGCTCTGGACCTTCGAAGACTCTAACCTGTGTTATGTAGTTTGTGGAAGAAAAATGACCACTGAAAACCATCCAGCTAATGTTGCCATTAGTCCAATCTGTTGGCAAGTCAGACTGTTGACCTCATGAGAAGTTACAGTGTTCTAAAATTATGAGTTTTTTTAGATTTAACCAAGAAAAATACTTGTAAGTAACTGAATCATTAATTTCACCACTGGAATTCAGATATTCAGAGGAGAAAAATGCACAAAATTAATTTCACTATTAACTGGCAGCTGCAAACACTTTGAAAGAATTCAGCTTCAGGATGGCCTCCTGGAGGGGATGACCCTGGGGCCAGGCAGGACACGTCTAGTGGTTGAGCTAGCCCTCCTCCTCACATTGCATCAACAAATGTTGCACATGCTTCAGAAATCAAGTTGCTGAAGGGGCTCCCTGGCACATTAGCCTGGCACATCTCGGTCACAGCCAGCCCGTGTCAAGGCCTTGGAGTCACAGATTTAACTGCACAATGTGAACCTAAGTAGGCTGTTAAGGAGTTGGCAAAAAAGCTGGCAGGAAGCCACAAGGGCCAGATTCAAAACCTTCCTGACAGAGAGGATTTCACTCCAAGAGCTGAGGAACTGACACATTTCCTTTCATGTTTTACTTTAAATGGAGACACATTTCCACAGTAAAGTGTCATGTGTTGTTCCCCCCCCCCCCCCCCGGTTCCATTATTGAAAAGCTTTGGAGCCTGATCCTGCAAATGCTTTGACTCACAAATAATTTTCTGGAAGTGTAATACCACTATGTCATGCTTTTCCAGGATTGGATCTCCTTCAACTGCCCATTTTGCAGGCTGACTCAGCAGCCATCCATTTCTGATGGTTCACCTGGCATGTGTTTGCCTGGTTTGCAGATACACGGCTGGTGTGTAGTTCTGTTCACTCCCTGGAAACAACACTCAAGACGTGAAGCAGATGCAGCCACATCTGTGACTACATCTCCATGAAACAACATACGCTGGTTACTTACAGCATATTCAAACTGCAGATTAAAATCCCGGTTGTTTGCTTGAAGTTGTCTCTCTTCCTCTGTAAAGAAGAAGAAACACATCAGACATGCTTGAGGGCAAGTGGAGTCAATACAGATACAAATGAAGCATCAGAAAATGAAAGCAGAGCTGCTAAAAGGCAATGGCACCGTGAATCTGTGCCCTGTGCCAACTACCCCATGTCAGGGAACTGGAGAGGGTGGTGACACTGATGGAGCAGAGCTGTGGACTGATCCTATAGCACTCTAACACCCTATGCCAAGTCTCCCCTACCCATAACTCACTGCAATGCCAGTGCTGGTTTTACAGGTTGTAAACTCTCAGGTAAGAGTTGCCACTTAACTAACGGTGCTCATTATTCTTGTCCTGCTCCATCTCTTCCCCCTGAAGTCTCTGGAGCTATTGCCATCAGCCTACTGCTGGTGCCCTTCCTCCAGTACAAGTGCATCTCTGAGCATCATCCCACAGATGGGACACCACCACCGTAGCTATCATGAAATCAAAAACTACTGGAAGGGATATCAAAAGGTCATCAAATCTACCCTCTACCTCAAGGCAGAGTCTCACCTGTCACTCCAATAAATGTCATAGAAAGCTCCATGATGGCTGTTCTTCAAACTGCCTATTCTAGGACTGCAGTCTCCTTCCCCTGGGGGAGTTTTTTTCTTCATTATCTAACATAAAATTACTTCAATTTAGGGAGGTTTTATCTTCTCCTGGGATGGTGAAAGGTGCTCTTCTTATTTCCCTCAGTTCCTTGTGCTACTTGCCAAGGACACAGAGTAGGGACAGTCAAAGGAGGGAATTGTCCCTCTCTATTCTGTGCTGGTGCAGCCTCACTTGAGTCCTGTGTGCAGTTTTGGGCACCACAGTATAAGAAAAATATAATAGCTATTAGAGGGCATCCAAAGGAGGGCCATGAAGATGGTGAAGGGCCTAGATTGGAAGCCACATGAGGAGCAGCTGAGGTCACTTGGTTTGTTCAGCCTGGAGAAGAGGAGACTGAGGGGAGATCTCATAGCAGTCCACAGCTTCCTTACAAGTGTTAATCTCTTCTTGCTGGTGATCAGTGACAGGACCCAAGGGAACAGCATGAAAGTGTGTCAGGAGAGGTTTAGGCTGCATATTAGGAAAAGGTTCTTCACTCAGAGAGTGGCTGGGCACTGGAAAAGGCTCTCCAGGGAAGTGCTCACAACACCAAGCCTGCCAGAGTTCAAGAAGTGTTTGGACAATGCTGTCAGGCATGTGGTGTGATTCTTGAAACTGTCCTGTGCAGGGATTCTGTGGTTCTGTGATCTGAGTTCATATGTGCCGAGGGCTGTTATGCCTTATGGTAGTCTTCCCAAGGGTAAGCAACTCCAGTTTCTTCAGTCACTTCTTGCATAAATCTGTCAGTAATACCATCAGTCTTGCCACTCCAGTGGGCTTCCCAGCTAGTACAACCCACTCTGAATGCACAGTGGCCAAAATGGGCCATAGTTTGCAGCTGAGGCCTTATCAAAGCTGACCAGAGCACAAGGAACACTCCACTTACCCTTGCAGAGAATGCATATTATATGTAAGAATTCACCTAGACGTTTTATTTAAAGTAATATCCTTATGCCCTGCCAGCATGCAGAGGCTCTTCAGAATATGATCCATTTTGGCAGATCCTTTCTGGCAGAGCCAATGCCTCATCAGGGAATGCAAATCTTTAATTTTTCCTGGCTAAACTGCATCCAAATTGTTTCAGACTATTTCTCTAAGTAGCCAATTCTAACCCTATCTTTCAGTGTGCACGTAGCTTCTGCCAGCGAGGTGCCATTCGCAGATGTACTAAGTGTGTTCTTTATTCTGTCAGCCAAGATGTAGAAGTAAATATTGAATACCAGACTCAGGATGGGATATAGCCTTGATGGATCTCTCAAGTTTCATAATCAGTCATCTATATCTATTGTTAATGCCTTTTTTTTCCCCCTGAAAAATCTGGCACTAACTGTGCTGTGATTTTATATCAAGCATGTATCTCCCATTTACTTGCAAAAATGCCACAAGTGACAGTCAAGATACACGGCAGCTATCTAAGGCTTTTTCAATAGCCCTCTGGCTACCACTAAAACAGAATTAATTTTGGTTTGATGCAGTTTTTCAGGACTGCTAACTGTTAATCATCTCTTCCCCACACACACACTTCTCATTACTTTGAAGTGGTTCGTTGGATTGTTTTAACCTTTACTCAGGTGAAGCCAATCTATCTATAATTGCTCAGCTTTTCTTTTTCTCCTGTTTCAAGATAGATGCTGTGCTTGCTCTCTTCCCAGCCTCCAGAACTTTGCCTGCCTGTGCACCAGAAACTCTCAAAGGCAGCAGTGCTCTCGGGCATACTTTACCTTACACAGCCAACCCAGTCTCTCTCTACTGCGGCTCAAAACCTCCCCCCTTCTCCTCTGTTTTTGGCAACTATTATGATAGATGTCTAAAGAAAAAGAAAAAAAAAAAAAGGAAAAAAGAAAAAAAAATAAACACAACAAAACCCCTCTGATTTCTTAGGCTTATTTGCCAGGCTTTTTTGCATTGAGCAGCAGACATAAACTGTCTTTGATCTCCCTCTTACTAGAAGGGTTACAGAACCCCAGAGACCCCAACTCTTACAGAACAACTTTTATTGTCCTTTATGTCCTTGATAGCCTTTTCTCACGTTGAGCCTTTGCCACACTGTTTGTCCTGGATAAAACAAGCTGTTTTGCACCTTCTAGAGGCATCCTTCCTCTGTTTGAAGCAAATGTGGAGCTTGTGATTTTACCATTTTGCTCATCCTTCTGAGCCTTTCCCTGAAAGGTGATAACTTCTAGATGTGCCCTTAATATCAAATAATAACATATGTGTTCTTAAGATCAATTAATATTATACGTGCCCCTAATATCAATTATTTAAGGAAATGATAGCTCTGTTTAATTCTCCCTCCACCCTAGAATTCCTTCCCATGAGATCTCAGTTACTAGTTCTTCGTATTTACTGAAGATTTCCTTCTTGAAGTCATTTTCAAACAATTTCCTACTGTCACTTTTTCCTAAGTATCATCCCATCATTTCATAATTATTCCTATTTACACTCCCTTCTGCTTTCACAGGACCAGCCAGCTCCTCCCATTCCCTCCCTTTTGGAGGGAATCAGTTCTGGAACAACCTCCACTCTAGCTACAAAAAATTGCCCATCTCTGCACCAAAACTCTGTGCCAACTGAACAAGTCAGGTTCCTCTACGCTCCTCTCCAACCCTGTCTCTGCACAGCTGGAATTCTTCATTTGCCACCATGCCCTGCCTCTCGGAAAACTATTATTTTTTTTTTCATGGAAGACTGCTCTTCTCGGTTTGCAATGGCTGTGTTATTTACCCTTGTAGCATTACTCAGAGTTCTGCAATTTGTTCATCTCTTTCTTCACACTGCATCTCAGACCACGCAGTCATACAAGGAAAACCTCTGTTAACCTTACAGAATTAGCTTTATTCTTTTCTATTAATATTCCAGCCTCATGAGTTATCACAGCACGTGTCTGCTACACCTATTAAATGATGTGTTGAGACATCTAGTTCTTCCTGTTTGTTCACTCTTGCATTAGCAAACGTCTAAGCTGTTCAGTACATTGAACTGCTATCCTTCCTCCTTTCCCTCCAATGACCCTATAGATAACACAGCATTCCTAATTTTTAAGCCATTTTTCAGATCACCATTTTTTGGTTTCTGTCTGTGGGCTGTTTTCATCAAGCCCTCTAAACACTAATGTAAAGCTATGTTAGCAGGCAAATGTGCTTTTCGCCTTCTTCAGGCACATCCAGTTGTGTCAGTCACTTTGGAATCAGCTCCCATCTGCCCCAACTGGGTGATTTGGACCAACCACAGAGGCTTCATTCAAGGCCCTCAAAGTGCTTAATCCTTCACTGCTTTCCTTGGGCACATTTTTCTCATCCTTCACAATGGGAAGAACAAAGTACTGAGAGATCAGAGTGACTTATCTGGTGTCCCAGAGGAAAACAGAAGCAGAGCTCAAGGGGTCCAGACTTGCTGGGCTTCAACTATTGAGTTATGTGCTCCTTCAGGAATCTTCCTGAGAGCAACCAGTATTATCAAAGCCGATGAAAGATAAAGCTATTTGTTACAAACAGAACTTCCCAACACTCGCATGTTTCCTGCCATACAGTAAGTGCTGCTCTTCTCCCTTCCCCAGGGGCTTCCAGTCTAAAGAAATGGCACAGAAAAGATAAATGGCGTTAATGTAAATAGGAATAGATGACAGAGCTTGAAAGCCTGTTGGGCTACACAGCAGAGCCTCAGTGTCACACACAGGCTTCTAAGAGTCTCTGAAGTCCTCAGTGACCTTCTGCTTTGCACGCAGAAACAGAAATCCAAGTGCTACAGGCAGCAGTGTGAGCTCTTTTGCTCTTACCAGGGCTTGCTGGGAGAGTAAGGAGCCAGCCATCCCTTTCCTCAGGTTGCCCCCAGGGTCTTTGCAACCAGGGCAGAGGCACTTAACGCATGAATTTGAATTCAAGGGTCTCATATGCTCTTAGAAACAAGCTGACATATGCGTGTGCTCCAGTGAGGAAAGGAGACCAGCTTCTCAGCACAGTGAGAGATAACATTCTCCAAATGGCTTTTATGTGAGCCACACAAATGGCTGCAAATGGCTCAGGGATGGCACAGAAACATGAAGCAGCAGGACATGAAACAGAACAGAAATTAAAATCAAGGCACTGCATTCCCATGCCTGATCATATGGCACCTAAGGGCAGGTTTTCTATGACAACACATTTCTGAAGGCCTCAGATAACTCTGAACCTGGTTCAAAAACTGAATGGAGCCTCTGGCTGCCATAGCCATCCATCCCTCTCAGAGGCAATGTCCTTAAAGGCCAAAACATGAGACTAATTTCTAGTGATGAGAATTTAATTCTTCCTACTGGGTAACAGCCAATACCTTTGGCTAAATCAAGAAAAACCACAATAAATTGCACAGGGAGCCTCATCCAACAGCATCAGCAAGGAGAACTTTCTGTCCTCTGGC